GGTGACCTGGACTGCTCTGGCAGCCACAACCAAGAGAAGCAAGTCATGTCACAGCAGATTCCTGCACCACACTTAGCTCCATCAGCATCCATTGCTGTACCATGATGTGCTAGCACAGCTATAAAGTAACACATGATTACCATGAGCTGAATTACCACTTCTATGAAATGTCACGTGGTATTTAGTGGCAACTGCAGGAGATAATGGCTGTCACTGTTCTACAACAAAAGAATTCTCCACAGATGTACTTCCTTTGAGTCCATGTGCCTTTAAAATTACTCCAATGCATACAGGAAACCAACTCAATGTTAACAGAGGAAGACTAAAATGACAGCCTGAGAGAAAAGAAAGTTAAAGGTAGCAACTCCTAAATCACAGATAGACACGATGGAGAAGAACGTGCAACTTTCTGCTTTCTTCTGTTCTGTCATTTCTAATTTCTCATATTATGAATATACACAACCAGAGTCTGAAAATCCCACACTAGCAACGCTTTTGAGGACCAGCATCTACGAACAGGTACTCCATAGCTTGGTCTTGATATTCCATGCATAGTGGAGCAGCCGCCAGTTTCTGCTCGTATTGATGGCCACAATAAAGCTGTAATGACATTGCAAAAAAGCTACCTTTTCTTGAAAAAGCAAATGAAAAATAAGTTTCTCAACTTTACAAACTCCATAGAGGAAAAAAGTATTTTCTGTAGCACACACAGATGGACAATAGGATTGTATGCAAGAGTATGAATGACAAAAATCAAACCAATCTTCTCAGTATTCATCCCAGTTTACAGAGTCTGAAATGCTCATTTTAGAGGAAAGAACCAGATACCATATACTGTGTAGGAGAGAAAATAAATTTTAGCACAGATCACACAGAAAGAGATACTATAAATGGCATAACTGGAAGTTGGATGGATTTGTAGATAATGTTTTATGAAAAGTTTAAAATAGTATGTTGCTAATAAGTATCAGCCGAGGCACTGAAATAACACATGAATAGAAAACCTGGTATTTTTCATCTAAACTGGACACTAGAGGATGCTTGATAAACCTGTTTAAGTCTTATCTTTATAAACAGATCTACCCATTCTTTTCTGTACACATGCATATGGGTCCATAAAATTACAAATCTCATATATATATATTTGTAGTGGTTTGAGCCCAAAAAATCCAATTTCCAACCTCCCCCACAATTTGCCTCAATGTAAGAGAAGTTTTCAGACAGGTACAACTCAGCATGGGGAAATTATATTAAAATTTATTACTAACAGAATAAAAACTATAGAAACTAAAAAGCAGATAAATACACAGTATTAATACAATTTCCACCACCCCTGGGGCCCTGCCACATCAATCCAGAAGAAGAACCTTCAAGGCGATAGCTAATGTCTCTCTCTCACTGGGGTACGGGGAAGGGGTTTTCTGCATCCCCACCAGCTGCTCAGCCTCTGCTGAGGTCTCTTCCTGGACTGCAAGGGAACACTTGCTACACCAGGTCTGCATTATGAGCTACAGGGAGTCAGCTTTTGAATCCTTTCCCCCTGCTTCGTGAAGGTTCCTCCCAGGGAGTAAGACTCAGGAACTTTTCCACTTCAGGTCCACTCTTGTCCCCAGGTTGCAGGATTTTCTGGGTTTTTGCTCAGTCTTATACCCCAAATAGCTTTCATTAAAGTCCTTGCCCAGAAAAAGCCTGCTTGGTTTGGCTTCTCTCTATCTCAGCTGCAGCCTCAGCTCCACTGCCACGTGGCAATGGGAGGTCATCCCCCGCATTCCTTGTCCTTCAGTTTTCGGCTGCCCTCATTCAAACCCGATGTAGGGCACCTCCAAGCCCTTGGCCCGTCCCTCTTCTGCTTCAGTCTCAACTTGAGTTGCTCCCTCCCCCTGCCATTGCGGGGAAGGTAGCAGCGAGACTGCTTGAAGTTTCTCTCTGCCTGGAATTCCTTCTGCTCTGCTTCACGATCGCCGCTGCTGACTCCCCCGCTCACAGGGGGAAAAACAGCGAAGAACTGCCGCAGCCCTGGCCATAGCGCCAGGGCCACGGGGTGCCCAGGGGCACCCCTAATCTCGGGGCCCCTCTGGCCACCTCATGGCTCCAATTCTCTCTGCCAACAACTTCCCTTCCGGTCTGTTGTAATATGCTAATTTCACAGGGGCGAACCGCAGCTCTCCATTGGCCCTGCATTGGAAACTTACTTGGGATTAACCATTTCCAGCCCCAGGGGAGCCTATATGAGACTAAGGTAAGGTTCAACATAAGAAAATCAAAATACCTTCTCTCAGATGCATCCTTTAACAATCCAGTCTAAATGAGCTTGGCAACCTCTAACCTTTGCTAAAAAGGCAGGCAATTCTTTGATACAGTCTTTGACTTTCACCTATGTGTGTCTAAACAAGGACATTTTACAATCACAAGTAGGTTTAGTCTGGAGCATATTAGTTTATACCCACATTGGCACTACTAGAATCATTTGACACTCCAACAACAAAAAAAACAGTACTAAAAGTGAAGCAACCATTTTCATGCTTTCACCTTAGTTTGTTTCATTTATTTAAACTGTAAACTGATACCTTATGTACACATTCTCTTTTAAAAAAATTTAGAAGCAGTTAAAACTTCAGTCTGAAAAAAACTTGTACTTAACACACTTTCTCATTATTCCCATGAGGAATGTGATTGCTAACAAATTACATATAAGAGAAAAAACCCTCAAACATTTTTTTCAAAATGTGAATATGGGTAGTGGTTACCTGATTTTATTTTTTAAAAAAACAATGACTCTCTAATCCGTTTTGCATTCTTTAATTAGGTCATTTAAGGGAAGAAAATATTATTTAGTCCATCCAATGTTGTATGAATATTATACAGACTATTACAGTTTTTTCCACTGCACTTAGGTCATGCTTGACAAAGTACAGTCCATAACTAGTATCTTTCATGGAAAGGGAAAAGAACAGAAACAGAAAATGTGAAAAATAGCTTACCTGTGAGGACAAGAGTGATCATAGTGATACTCACTGTCAAAGTAATAAATCCCTGCATTTAAGTTTTCAAAGCCTACGACAACATATACCTTACATGGAACCCCAAAACTCAGGTATATGTTTTATATTGCTGTAATGACAGCAATAGGAAAATCCCACAAATCCTCAGCCAGATATGCAAGGAATATGCTTTTTTCAAAGCCAAACATACCCATGTCAAGTCTGGTCAAGGTTGCTACTGTGACAGGCTGGAGCATGCTGTTCTGCTACACAACAGCAGGAGCGACATGGGTTTATACTGGAAACAGTTACAAGGAGTAATGGACTTTTAAAGCAAATTTGATACATTTGATGTTTCATAAAAGGAAGAAGTTAGACCACTGTCCCCTAAAAACCCCAGAAGCTATAAATAACAAAGCAGCATAAAAAACCGGTTTTGCCAGAGACAAGGTAGGAGGAAATGAAGATGTTAACTCTTGGTCCTTTTAACTGCCAAAGGCAACCTGTGTCTCTTTAGACTTTAATCAGCAATTTAAAACCCAACATATTCTTTATACTGCTAGTGGCCACAATAGACCTTGGATCACTCAAATTGTTTCACTTCTAGTTTCATTAGGATACAAAACTACGCAAATGAATTCAGCTTGCTTTTTTTTCTTTTCTATCATGGTGGCCTTCTATGATGGAGTGACTGCAAGGACCAACCCATGTCATCTACCTAAACCTCTGTAAGGCCTTTGACATGGTCTCACATGACATCCTTTTCTCCTAATTAGAAAGACATGGGTTTGAAGGGTGGATCACTCAGAGGGTAAGGAATTGGCTGGATGGACACAGCCAGAGCATTGTGGTCAATGGCTCTGTGTCCAGGTGGAGGCCAGTGATGAGTGGTGTCCCTCAGGGGTCTGTCTTGGAACTGGTGCTCTTTTAATTTATCAGTGACACAGACAGAGATCGAGTGCACCCTCAGTAAGTTTCCAGATGACACAAAGGTGAGCAGTGCATTTGGCACAACAGATGGAAGGATGCCATCCAGCGGGACCTGGGCAAACTTGAGAAGTGGGTCCATAGGAACTTACGGAAATTTAACAAGTCCAAGTGCAGCTGTCTTGGGGCAATCTCAGAGGCAAGTCCAAACTAGGAAAAGAACTCATTGAGAGCAGCCTTGTGGAGAACGACTTGGGGGTTTCCACGCTGGAAATGAGCCAACAGTGTGTGCCTGCAGCCCAGAAGGCCAGTGATATCATGGGCTGCATCAAAAGAGCAAGTCAGCAAGTCAAGTCTACTCTGCCCTCGGGACACCCAACCTGCAGTGCTGTGTCCACGTCTGGGGTCCTCAGCACAAGAAAGACATGGACTTGTTAGAGTGGGTCCAGAGGAGGCCACAAAGATTGATCTGAGGAATGGAGCACTTCTCCTGCGAAGACAGGCTGAGAGAGTTGGGCTCTCGGAAGACCTCATTGCAGCCTTCCAGTGCAAGTTTTTACATGGGCAGATAGTGACAGGACAAGGCAGAACGGTTTTAAGCTGAAAAAGGAGATATTTAGATAAGATCATAGGAAGAAATTCTTTACATGAGGGTAGGGAGGCAGTGGGAAGAGGTTGCCCAGAGAAGTTGTGGATGCCCCATCCTGGAAGTGTTCTAGTTGGATGGGGCCCTAAGCAATGTGTTCTAGTAAAAGGTGTCCCAGCCCATGGTAGGAGGGTTGGAACTATATGATCTTTAAGGTCCTTTCCAACCCAAATCATTCTGTGATTCTATGATAATTTAAAACTTTACAGCACAAGCTTCCCCACTTGCTACATTCTCACATCAGCTTTTCAGCTCACCACGTGTCTGTTTCACAGGTTGTGCTCCCTTGAAAATCTGAAGGTCTCCATTGACTTTTTACAGTTTAATGTACTTGAGTAGTTCTTCTTATGAGAGTGATATCAGCCTGGAAATAGCTAAGGATGTCTCAGACAGGAATAAGAACAATACTGGTGGATCCTTTCAAAACAAAAATCATACCAAAGATGTTCCAAAATTATACAGTAAATAAACTTTATTTAATCTCAGCTCTATTTAGATTAGTGTTGTCAACAGTCACAGATCAGTTATGTACGAACTATTTACAGGAATTTACAGGAACATACCTTTTCTCCACAAAAATATAAGTACAAAAGCTAGGAGTAAACAAATGAGGTACTGCAACTTGGATTTATTGTAGGCAAAAGCATATAGAAGTGACCTTTAGCAAACAATCAAGATCAAATTAGGAGAGAATCGTCAACAGAAGTTCCTAGTTCATCAGAAAAATCTCCTCAACCACTACTCATTCAAAATGTATTGCACAATTCATTCAAAAATAAAAAAAAAATAAATAGAAGAAACAAACCATTTATTTCAACTCTTAAAAAACACCCAGTAAAACCTGTATAAAGATACAGTAGTGGGCAATTCCTTCCCAGGATAGTCTTTTCTCTCCTTTAAAAAAATAACCTTTAACACAAAATAGAAGACAGTATTCAATAGAAGAGAAAGACTCATCATCAAATAACCCCTGATTAGCATTTCTGTCAAGGCAGTTTTAACTATATTCATGGTCCAAAGGTGGTGTTGAGTTTTGGTTCTTGCTGTCCATTTGTGACCTTGAATAATAGCTTTTCTTCTTGTCCCTTTTCAAGGGACAACAAAAGAGATATAAACACATTTCTAAGCAGCAGTGTCATGAGACATTCTCATCACAAATTCAAGATGGTCGTAGCCATGACTAGAAGAATGAAAAATTAGAAGAAATGAACAAATGTTAGATTACTGAGAACAACTTAGAAGATCTTAATATTAAAATAATGACATTATTTCTTGTATGATTAGGAGATAGAAGAATTTCAGGTAAGTAGAACTGCCAAATTATTAACTGATTTTGAGCAAGCAATTCTATACCAGTATCTGCAACACAGTTGAGAAATTGATGAAAATTAAATAAGCTGTAGCAAACCAGTCAGAAGTCTCACTGGAAATAGTCTACCACGTCTCTGCATATTAATCCAATGAAACACAAGGTTGTCCTCTCTGCATAAAGGCCTATCATCAAAATTGAAATGATAATGTATAATATTTGGGCTAGCAAAAAGTCTCTTCTACCAGAAAAATATTGACCGCCTTCACAATTAAGTCAGCATCACCTTAATTTCTAAGGTATATACATGCAAGAATAAAGGACAAAAATACTTGACATGAAGTAAGCAACTACAATCCAATAATGAGGTCTGAATAGTTTACATATATACTAGTTGAAGTTATGAAAGTGTAACAAAAAATTGCTGACATTAAGGTCAACATCAACAAGCCCTTCTGTGGTGTTTCAAATGCAGCTGAGAACACCTGAATTTTTTACACCAGCATTATAGACAGCATGACAGGAACGTAAGTTTCAAACATACCTTCTGAAATAGTGTTGTAAATAGCTTTGTTCCATCATTATCAACAATTCAATTCTTTTCAACAGAGGGCTAGAAAAAACAGTTGCTGATTTTGTCAGAAGTGATCAAGGCTAGTAGTCCAAACAGTCCAAACTCTATTGCATTTTAAGTGCAATAAAAAGTGCATTCACCATTGTATTCAAAGGTTTAAAAAATCACAAAGTAGAAATCAAGACTGTTAGCTAAGATGAACAATTTTTTCCTTTGAAAGAAGTATTATTTTGTGTTGAAGGCTGTATTTGCATGACTGCAAGAGAGGAAGATAACCTGTCAACTGCATTGTGGTAACTAGCCATGGAAACAGCCTAAGTTAATGTGTTTTGCTGTGGTGGTGCTGCAGGCCAACAACTGCATTCCAGCCAAGAGACAGCAACTGTTTCACACACACTCAATCAATTCCTGGCAACTGTGTAAAACTTTCCAGTTGCAAAGGAGGAAAAAAAAAGTTGAGCTGACCATATCCTATAGAATTTATCTGCAGAGTTTATTATATATCAAACACCACTAGTGACTCAAATTATAAGCTTATCAGTCAGCACAGAAAGCTTTTTCCTCTGTACTTCCATACTGTATTCCTCTCTCAACCATTATTGCTTGTGTGTTGCTTGTTTAGCTTGGCTAGTCTGATGCAACCTGCATCTTTAGGCCTAAGTCAGCTGTTCTGTTCCCGTAATGCTACAACTAGCATTGCAGGTTCATAATGAAAGTAACGAAATAAAACCTGAAGAAAGACACAATAAACTGAGAGCATAAAGGTCACCTAATTGTTCTCCCTAACGTCTCTGCTTTAACTCCTCTTGATATCAAACTAAAGCTGAGATTCAGAAAGGTAATATGTTTACATGCAATCATATCCTAATCCCTCTACAGAGAATATTTCATCAATCTTTTCTAGGATAATTCAATCTCACATTTAAAAGACGTAATTCATTTCAAGCAGTGCAGCATGTCTCCCACAAATCTGACTTATTTGCCCATTCAAAAAAAGGAACTCATAAAGTGAATAAAGACAAAACAAAGCCAAGTGAAATAAAATATAATATTACATATTAATTAATTCAAAATCTGAATTTTTTTCAGATATTTCTGTACTCAATCAATGTTTGAAGTTATGCTTATAACTGAAAAACATCTGTTTTGAATCAATATTTACCTTTTTCAAACTTGGCTTTGTAGAGCAAAAGAGAGATTAAGAGTAGAACAAAATTTATCATACACATGTAGAACAAATATTTGATTTTTAACAAAGGAAAACAGGCAAGAAAAAAGCAGAGGAATGATTAATCTCATAATACATGTTCCATCTTCAAATAAAACAAGTATGTATTAGACTTCACTCACCCACATGCTAACTAAGCACAGACTGATGGGATATTCAAAAGATACCACTGCGAGGTGAGGTAAACTACAAAGCCAGGAAGAAAAGAACTTATTGGACTACTTTGTTAACAGTGCTATATAGTGTTAATAGATAAGAGCTCTGTGGCCATCTACAGTTTACTGATGAGATTGCTGCAGTTAGAACACAGTACCATGTAGTAAAAGCTAGATTAGTGAAAATGATACATTAATCTAGCATATGTTTATTGGCCTTGTATTGTTACAAGTTTTCAGAAACCTATTAAATATAAGCCCACTAAGAGGGTATATAATTAATAAAAGATACTTAGTACCACACAGTTACTCTAGTAGCACAATTAGTTAACAGTTTACACATTAAAAGTACATAAGTTCTGGCAGTAAACTAAAATACAAATAAGCTTTACGTTAAAATGCACATTTATGTTGTAGTTCAGAACTTTATTGCTCATGAGATCTTAACACTGGATATTTTCAAATACCATCATTACTCCAATATTAAGTGTGGAGAAACATTACTACCACGTAAGTAAATGCCAATAAATAAACCCCTAACAAATCAAGAATACTTCTTTACAGAATAATTCATAAAAAGATCTCTCTAACTTTTTAGTTCTAAACAAAATTATGAAAGACTCATCACCCAAAAGAATTTGTGCAAACAAACTTAGTTAACTTCGAAAGTGAAGAAAAAAAAAAAATACTTCGTTCATAATATGCCCTAGTATTTGAGTATCCACTAGATGTCTAATTCAATCTCTGCAGATTTGGAAAGGAGAAAATTCATAGGCTAGATCTGAGCCAAGAAGGGACTGCTACATGAAATCCAAGCAGTTTTTCATCAGGACATGAAGCTCTTTTAATGACGATATCCTTACCAATCAAAGCACTCACAGCCTGCAAAATAACCCTCACCACATATTTTAGCCAAAATTTAATACTAAGGATGAAAACTTGTTGGATAAATTCAAATTGAAGTTTTGTTTCATATCAGAAGTCGTGAATGTCTGTTGTATGAAGAACAGTATCAAGTATCAAAAAGTTGAAGTGACTGCAAAATAAGGTCCATCTCTCTGATCTCAAAATGTTTCCTAAACATTACTCTAGCTTGCCAAAACAAAATGTAATAAAAAAGCCCCAGCTTTTTATTTGAATGTCAGAGAGATAAAATAATGTTTGGGATACATGGTACTTACTGGAGCTGCAGTATTATCAATATTTATATACTTCTAAAAGTATTTTAAATATTTAAGATTGCAAGACATTCTCAAACATACTAACTGTACAGGAAAATGTTGAAGTATTTAACACTTTACTCAGATGTGATACTGCAAGCAGATGAAAAATACAGATTTTTTTAAAATTTGTTTTAATGGATCAATAGGATTTTAATGTAACTACTTCAAACGAAATGTAAAAATGTTTAAATTTTTATTTTATTCTGGTTTTGCAAGTGCTAAATAAATATATATGCAAGGCCAGTGAGAGAAACAGAATGGTATTCTTCCTCTCACTTTAATTCCTAAATATTTCACTAAACTGACCCACAAAGGGAGGGATCACAGTATTGACTCCAGATACAATGTACAGGAGACTATTACTGCAGTTTTTATTTATAAAAAGTAGCTCCAATGCATAAAACAGTAACAGTAATACCAAAGAAATGGTTATGCTCATATAACCTTAACCTCTTTTGGGTCTGCTTCTCAAACCCAGTTTCCCTTTCTGGTAAATAGATCAGCTGGTAAATACCAAGCAAATGTCACATAATAAATGTATTGAAACTGGGAAAAAGCCAACACCAAAGTGCTGAAGACTCTTTGTTTTTGACCTGTCCTGACCTGGAGTGAACTGACATATTTTCATGTTTTTTCAGTACAAAAATAAAGCAGACTTACAAAAACGCCCCAACTCCAAACAAAGCCCCAATCTTGTTAGGATACACGCTTAAAATAAAATTGTACATATTTCACTTCAAACTCATATCCCAGGTGATAGAGGTAATTAGTTTTATATTCTATAAGCAAAATGTTTTTGCTGACTCTTGTTTTTGTCAAAATTTTATTCCAGGAGTGAAAAAATGTTTCTTGATACATTTTTCATGAAAACTGGTATGCCTTCCACAGAAACTTCTGAATTTAAGAAACATGAATTTTCATGTGCTTGCTTTTTTTCTCACTCTTGCTACAAATTCAAATCTAGAGCTCAAATTTGATATTCCACTGAAGAAGAAGGAAGAACAAAGAAAAGGAGCTCACTTGAATGTGGACACAGGTGAAAGGAGACTTAAAAATAAGTTTCTAATTCATTATTCTTGAAACCTAACCCTTGTGCACAAACTTGGCTTACTTATATAACTTACCAGTGGTCGAGCATCTTCTCGTTCTAGTATCTTCTGAGTCTGATCTGCTGGGAACTTCAGCACTGTTGTTATAACCTTGGCCATTGTCTAAAAAGATGTATATTATCTATAAGTAATTCCACATGCACGAAAATGCTTTGTAATATTTTAAAATGAATTTCATTTAAGAATACTGTATGCTATTTGTACTAATGTCAATGGAAAACAGTAAAATCAGTAAGGCATAATTATTTGTTTCACATATATGCACAACATATTCTGTGAATTATATGAAAACAACAAAGGGTCACCATTTCACATTATCACAACCTTCAGCTACTGTAATATGATGTGAGTTCTATGGTACCTATGCTCAAACAATAGAGTCCATTAATAAGACAGCATACTGAACAAAGTGCATGCTTAGAAAAAGCTGGCAATCTCCTTTCATGTATCCTGCCAAAAAAGAGGCAAAGAAAGTTGGACTGGAGGGTAAGACAGTAAAGTCCCCCCGCAAAGACATGTACACATCTTGGTCAAGCAGTTCACAAAGAATGTGACAGATTACAGATTACACATTATGACTGTAATTCCTGATTCTTAAAATTTGTATCAACCCTCCACATCTCTCTTATGTCTCCAGCACTATAACCTAATTGGTGCATTCATTTATGTCTTGATAGTATTCCAGGATCATTTACAAGGCTGCATAAATGGCAATCCATCCTAGATAATTTGCACAGATTCCTTTGAACTTCTTTCAATAAAGAGGAAACATGTCCATAGACATCACCAACTCCACTACTGAATCACCTTTGAGACATGGCATATATATTTGTACTATAAAAGGAGATCCTGCACAGCGGAAGGCCACCAAATGATCTCACAAGAGAAAATTAGACAAAAAAATGCCTCTTCTGGTCCAGGGAAATAAAAGTTGAGAGAAAGGTATATCTGTACTCAGGAGATAAATCACAATACAGATCTTTTAACTCCAGGACTGTGTTGGGGGAGAAAAAGCATGTGCTTAAGACTGTTAAAAAATTTTATCAATTGCACCATCGTTGCTCATGGTTTTCCAGTCAGTGTAGCAAGATGAAACCAGTTCTCAAGACACAGTTCCCTAAATTTAAGATTATGGGATACAATCCTGACGAGAGCAGATACTAAGCTCAGTGTCTTCTAGCAACACATCTAATGATTGAAAGAAAACCAGTAGATGAAATTAGCTTGAAACTACTTTTTGAAGCAAAACTGGAGCCTGAAACACAGAAGAGAGACCTAAAGACAATTTTCTTTAGCATTGATGGTAGTTTGTTGCTGTTATTGAAGAAATCAACTGCAAATTCTAGTATAACACTGTTAAAAAGAAAAAAAAACCTGTAACAATTTATAATCCAAAGTTTTGAGGCACGTACAGAAATGTTTTGAAGATCAGTGACAGACAACCTCGATGAGCAAAAAAGAGGTTTCAGATTAGGTTTTCTTGAATGAAAATTTGCTATGTGCATCAGCTATATGCAATAGTTGTCCAAAGCTGCTTCAAGACTTGTTTTAAGTTGAAACATTGCTGACATATTTTTTTAGCATTTTCACTTGTCTAAGTCCCTCACAATTCAAAATCATAAAATCTACTACTGTAGGTATTTTCCTTTAACTATTTCATTGTTTAAGTAGGAGAGCTATCCAACAAGCCACAGGCTTGAAGGTAACTAGTGATTCTGGGGTTTTTGGATCAGGGATTTTTATTTTTAATAAAAAAGGAATTAATATCACAATGAAAAATGGGATAAAAAGAGAGAGAATGAGGAATCCCATAAGGACAAGATGTTCTGCACAGTCCAAGTTTTATTCTGTACAGAGCACAACGAGAACAAAGCTAATTAACATAGAAACCTACATAAAAACTCTTTGTTTTATAGTAGTCTAAGTTGAAAGCAGGGCAACAGTGGAAGAACTCCAGAGAGGAGGAAAAAAACAAATACAAAAATTCATCCACATAGAATTTATCATCTAAGGAAAATATCTGTGTTATAACATACCTCTTTTGAACCTGGTCAATCTCTAAGCACCGGTACTGTAAGAAGCTAGTAAAATTCCAACTTAGGATTTCACAAGCTTGCAACATACAACAAGAAGCCTACTGTACAGCTTTTCACTACTTTTAAGAGTAAATTACTATTATCTAAGATACACAGATGTGGGAGCCCTATAAAACATCTTTAAGCAAAAACTGAAGAGATATTTCATCATCTTCAGAGCTATTAACAAACTATTACTTAATCCATTACCTGCTATGTTTGTGTCAAGATGACATCAGAAGACCACTTTTGCTAATATGGTGCTGGTACATTAAGACTGACTGACAACAGGACTTTTGCTAATAAAACTGTATCTACCCATAAAGGTTTTTGTTTTCATAGGTACATTGGTGAGAGATGTGAAAGCCTCTTTCCCCTGCCACTCATCTTGGCATGCTGACAAAGTTTTAAGTTATGGATCATCCCTCTTTGGAAAACAAATGTGAAAGTCTATTGAATCCTGTGTTACTAATGAACACCATGTAACAAATCACAAACACATGGTATTTCACATCTATACAGCAAGGGTGTTAAACTGTACTCTAACCTGAATCACCTGTCACCATATGCAAATTTCCATACCTTTGTCTCACGACCCATCATATATTCAAAGAGCACTTTCCTCAAGTATTCAAACTCCGTAGGCTCCCCAAAAATGGAAACGTCAGTATGGTGAAGGTTTCCATCTGTGTAAACAAAAATAAGAGCATATTTATACTGAGAGTCACTCATATGAATCTAAGTTTCACCAATGGCATGAAATAGAACAAGAACAAATGCTGGATTCTGCACCTGGAATGGAGTAACAGCAGCCCTGCTAAAAGGTATTTGGGGCTGCTGGTTGACAGGAAGCTCAGCAGGAGTCAGCAGTGCATGCCCTGGCAGCTAAGGGGACAAACCACATCCTAAGGTGCATCAAACACAGCATCACCAGCCAGTCAAGATAGGTGTGGTTATCCTGCTGTATTTAGTACTGGTGCAGTCTCACCTTCAATACTGCAGGCAATTCTGGGCCCCACCATTTAAAAAGAATGATAAGGTACATGAATGAATCCAGAGGAGGGCACCCCTGCTACTCGATAAGGTGCTGGAAGGCATGTCCTGTGAGAAGTGGCTGAGGATTCTGCGTTTGTCTGGTTTGGAGAGGAGGAAGCTGAGGGGTGACCTTACTGCTCTCTACAGCTTCCTGAAGTACCCTGTACCAGGACACACGGAAATGGCTGAAACCTGCACCGATCAGGGGAAGTTTGCACTTGACATGAGGAAACATTTCTTTACCCAGAGGGTGGTCAAACCCTGGAACAGGCTTTACTAAGAGGTGGTTGATGCCCCATATTTGTCAGCACTGAAGAGACATTTGGACAGTGCTCTTTAAAACCATGCTTTAATTTCTGGTCAGCCCTGAAGTGGTCAGGCAGTTGGACTAGGTAATTGATGTTGGTCCCTTCCAGCTGAACTATGTTATGCTATGCTTCTTCCTACCTGCTTCTTTCCCAATCAGTACATGTTGAGGAAATCTTTGATGATATTTCTTCCCAGCCCTAGCAGAAGGTATTCAATACCCATAACCACGTCCCATCCTTGGCTCTGTCACCTTGTGGGAAGGAGACATGGAGCTTTGTGGGGGGGAGGGGTGAAAATGAGAGCTGTGCATCATCCTGAGATAATTTGACCATCTGCACAAATTTGCAAAGAATAAGTGTGATATGTGGGTTCTGAAAGTCTCCTGAGTTCATCCAGCTGAGATGGGTTTCCACAGGATGGCAAAACTCCACATTTCTGATACTAGTGAGGTTCAATTCTTGAGCCCTCAGTCTCATGCAGGACGTGTTCCTCAACTAAACAGTTGAAAATCTTTTGGAGGTAAGGAATACCTCTTCATCTCCCTGTGGATTCTTCTATCTCATGTTAAAACAACAGAGCCTGAGAGGAACAGTACACCACCAGAGAGAAGGTCCATTCGCCCACACTCTGTCTCCAAAATGGCCAATAACCAATGTCCAAAGGAGAGCACATGAGCAGTTCAAGTCTACCTCTGTCAGGGTCCTGGGGGTGCTCACAGGCCTCAGTGGCTGGGACCGGTCTCCCCTGGGACCCCCACCCCCACTGGCTCCTGCCAAGGGCCCAGGGGATGCATCCCAGCTCAGCATGGGGCCTTCGGTTCCTGCCTGAGCCATGCTGTACATGTGCCCATCTCTGTCCCTGTCACCTGGATGGGCCTGGGACCTGCATGGCAGAGAGTTTAAGAACTCTGATATATAGAGCTGTTTTAACTGTATGGCAAAAAACCCAAACAACAAACAAAATGCTCTGTGATTTGCTCATCTGAAATCACACACTAACAGACAAGACAAAACAAGGATGTCACAAAATGAGTGTCTTAAGGAGACTGACATTTTAATTACATTGTCTAGACCAAAGTATATCTTTCAAACAAATGAAAAATTTATTTCTGATGAAAACTGTGTACTTACCTCTGTACGGCGTTCCAACTGGTGTGACGTACATATTCTTCTCATAATTTTTCAGCCGGTCTTCCAGTACATGAATCTAAATAGAGAACAGTCAGAATCATAAATGGTGTTCATAAGCAGCTAAAATAAGCATCATTGAAACAGTTTTTGCTAAACATCATCTCCTATGAAACAAAATACATTTGCTTTTTAAGGAAGGAAAACATTAAAAACTGTATTATTAAAACTATCAAAAAACTGCTTAAGGAAATGTGTGTACAGGTGTATATACACATAAAAATATCTACATTTTTATTTTTTATATATATATATATATATATATATAAAAGCATACATAAAAAAGCACATGACAAAAATTGTCATCAAAAAGTTTTAGTTATGAAAAAAAAAAGTCCAGAATTTCATGGTGTGCACTGTTACCTTTATCACGGCGCAACTGCTTTGCTAACCAGTATCACAACCATGTGGTATTTTCATTCTCAGTGGATACAGGAGTACTTTGGAAAGTACACATATCTGAGAGCAAGTATGAGTGAAAACTATTTTATTTGCCTATTATTTTCATAGTACCTTGTGTGGAGATGTGCCACATCATCACTTGAAAAGAACAAACCTTTTAATACTGAAGACACAGTGTATCAAACAAGAACACTTTTTATTCATTCAACATCACCCTTACCTGCTCTTTCAATTCCTGCTCTTTCAGTTTTGAATCATTGACTAACATTGTTTTCTGTGCAAGCTGTGCCTGAAAGAACAGTCACATATGGAAATCATCAAGGAACTGCTGAAAATACATCCAAAGTACATCTGCCAAAAATTTCTTTCTCCTTTTAACACACAAAAAGTTATAAACATCATTTCAGCTTTCAAACTGCTTTGAAACAGAAATATTAGAGTGCAAAATAAGTAACATATAAGACTTACCTTTAGTTCTGTTAGTGTGACCTAGACAAACAACAAAAATTCAGATTAAAATGCATGAAAAATACTGAGTATATCAAGCATTGAAGAAAAAAATATCAATCATCTAGTTCTGATACAGAGTGTTAACTAAGGATGATAAAAACTGAAATTACCAAATACTCGTGTACTTATAAAAATAACTAGTCTCCTAGCATTCAACTTATTTGTATTGTCAGTACATAAAGCTTATATTTAAATTACCTCATTTGACTCTGTAAGACAATTATCACAAATATAACTTCAAGAACCCAGTGTTTCAAATCTTTACAAAATACATATTGGAGATGAATAATAACTGAATGAGTATGAAGTATATTCCAGGATACCCTAACTACTATTAATACTATTTGTAATGTTGTATCTTTTACCTTAATTCTTCAAGTCACATTTGGAAAAGGGAACGTTTACCTGAAAATAGCTTCAGTTAAGAGCTTCATGAGCTCTACATCTTGCAAAGATGTTTATGAAGTACAGAAAAAATTCTAAGCTGATATTTCTATCTTTCAATGTTCCAACTATAAGGAAAGTAATGCTTTAGTAGTCATGGGTATAAATCAAGGTCGTAAATGCATTTCAACATCAAATCATTTATGTCTGATTTTTTTTTCTAAGGTAACCTAAACCTTAACAGAGAAGTAGTACATTTTTTTTTTCTTCCCAAGCCTCTTTGGAATTGTGTTGAAAAGGAGAGCTATTCCCTATCTCTGTAGGGTGATAAAACCTGTGGGTTTTCCTACACTACACAAACAGAAAGTAGGGGAAAATCAATCCTCAAACCTGTAAGTGCAATTCTTTCTTCTGAAGAGCTCAGTCATCTCATCAGACATTTATTTTCTCATATAGAGAGACAGTTTCTGATATTTTTACATCCAAATGATAACACTTAAGGTTGTTAGTATTTGTCAATTGTTTATCACAGTCAGACAAATATTGTTTAAATATCTATCTTCATGTCAAAGTGAATATGTTATGTGTGATGTTTGGCCTAGGCTGACAACAAGCAGCACAGGAAGTTTTTTAAGACAAACTTCTGTGATTTGGGAGTCTCCAACTTTAAACAACAAATGCATCAGCTGCAGCTGCTTCCAGTCAACAAGACTTCTGAGCATTTTTACTACTAGTGCTGAAGGGAAAAAAACCTCAACATAAAAGAGAAAAATGTTACAGAGCAACAAAATAAAAAAGAAATAAGATAAGACAAAAAATATCATGGCAAATGTAAGATGACAGAATTCATTTGAATGCACCATAAAATCCAGACGTGGATTTGTATGTGGATCTGCTCTGGTATGTTGCCAAGGTCGACAGACTCTGTCCAATTTTCTTATTTAGGTCTGTAATGCTGCATATATATTTGCATATAATGCTGCTATGCTATTTGTTGCAAATATCTGCTATTGCACCAGGTAACAGTAAAACTAGTTTCCTGCAGACATACCAAGGACAGGCAATGGACAAATTAAGACAGGTAAGAATTAAAAACAACAGCTCTTAATTTCTAAGGAGAACAAAAGAAAACTACCTCTTGATCCCAGAACAGACTATGTCAAAGAGTAGGAACCCTATCCTGAAATACTGATAAAACAGGAACTGAAAGCCCAATTATATCACTCTAAATATCTGAGCTTTGACTGGACCAGAAGATGTACCAGGACCTATGTGCACATTCAATAGCATAATCTATTAGAATAGTTATGTTGTTTTGAAATGAAATCACCATTGTGAATAGTATCAAATAAGACATTTACATTCAATTAAATCAGCTACGCAAAAGAAAGCTTGTAAACAATTTGCTAAATTTAGTTGGAATTCTCAAAACTACTCAAGAAAGTTTGATGCCTATATTCGAGAGAAATCAGATAACGAACTGCCTTACACTCTTCAAAAAAAAAAAAAAAAATCACATTCTTATTCTGCAAGCACTTTGAACCTGGGTGCTTTAACTGTACCTATGTACATACACTACCACACAAGCTGATCTTCCTCCCCCCCCAATGAGACATCATCTATACTTTAAAACTAAGCTGTTCACCAGCAATGAAGTTCTCTGAACTGGCTTATACCTGCCACAGATGGAACAACTCCTTTGAGTTTCTCCAAAGTCTGCCATGGAAACTCCAAGGAGTGGAGAACTGTGGACAAGATTCCAAACACAGGCAAAATTAACTGTTTATTTTGTTTAATGTAATCAATATTTGCAATATTCAAGTATTTTACAGCTCTACGCTACCTTTGCAAAATCTGTCTGATGCATTTCTGGGAAGAATTGAGGAATCAAAGAATCACAGAATGTTAATGGATTGGAATGGACCTTAAAGATCCTGTAGTCTCGACCCCCTCGCCATGGGCAGGGACACCTCCCACTAGACCAGGTTGCTCAAGGCCTTATCCAACCTGGCTTTGAACACCTCCAGGGATGGGGCAACCACAATCTCCCTGTGCAATCTGGTCCATTGTCTCACCACCCTCACAGTAAAAAATTTCTTCCTAATATCTAATCTAAATTTGCCCTCTTTCAGTTTGTACCATTACTCCTTGTCCTGTCACTACAGTTCCTGACAAAGAGTCCCTCTCTGGCTTCCCTGTGGGCCCCCGTCAGATACTGGAAGGTTGCTATGAAGTCTTCATGCAACCTTCTCTTCAAGCTGAACAGCCCTGACTTTCTCAGCCTGTCTTCACAGGGGAGAAGCTTCAGTCCTCTTGTCAACTTTGTGGCCCTCCTCTGGACTTGCTCAAACAAATCCATATCCTTCCTAGGTTCGGGACTAGAACACAGTACTCAGGCTGGAGTCTCCCATGAGCAGAGTAGAGGGGTAAGAATCATCTCCTTTGACCTGCAGGCCATGTTCCTTTTGATGCAGTCCAGGATTCCATTGGCTTTCTGGGCTGTGAGGGCACACCGCTGGTTCATGTTCATTTTTTCATCACTCGTCACCCCAAGTCCTTCTCTGCAGGGCTGCTCTCAATTCTCTGCCCAACCTGTAGATGTGCTTGGGGTTGCCACAACTCAGGTGTAGGACCTTGCACTTTGCTCTGCTGAGCTTCATGAGGTTTTGATCAGCCCACCTCTCAAGCCTATCAAGGTCCCTCTGGATGGCATCCCTTCCCTCCAGTGTGTCAACTGCACCACACATCTTGGTGTTGTCAGCAAATTTACTGAGGGAGCACCCGATCCCACTGTCGATGTCACTGACAAGGATGTTGAGCAGTACTGGCCCCAACAGTGACCCCTGTGGGACACCACTCGTCACTGGTTTCCACATGGACAATGAGCCATTGACCACAACTATTTGCATGCAGCCATCCAACCAGTTCTTTATCCACTGAGTGGTCCATCCATCAAATCTATGTCTCTCCAATTTGGAGATAAGGATGTTGTGCAGGACAATGTCAAACACTTCGCATAAGTCCAGGTAGATGATGTCAGTTGTTTTGCCCCTATCCACCAACGCTGTAGCCCTGTCATAGCTCACCAGATTTGTCAGGCATGATTTCCTTTTTATAAAACGATGTTGGCTGTTACCAATCACCTCTTTGTTTTCTATGTGCCTTAGCACAGTTCCAAGGAGAATCTGTTCCATGATCTTGCCTGAGACAGAGGTGAGATGGACTGGTCCGTAGTTCCCCAGGTCTTCTGCTTTCTCCTTTTTCCAGTCATCAGGGACTCTACCTGACTGCCCTGATTTTCCAAAAATTACTAATGGCTTAGCAAGTTCATCTGCCAGCTCCCTCAGGACCTGTGGATTAATCTCATCAGGTCCCGTGGAACCCATTCAGGTTCCTTAGATGGCCTTGAACGCGATCCACTCCTACAGTGGGTCTTCATTCTCCTTGTCCCTGCATCTGCCTTTCATGACTTGGATAGTGCGGCAGGAGCACTTGCCATGAAGACTGAGGTACAGAAGTCACTGACAACCTCAGCCTTCTCCATACTCAGGGTAGTCAGGTCTCCCGTCTGTGGAGGAGCAAGGATCAGAATGGGAACGGTTTCAGGAATGGAAAAAGATATACAGTGATTGAAAGGACTTTATTATACGGACTTTGCAGTTCTTATGTGTTTACAAATATGTACATTGTATGATTTTCCCTACAGTTGTAACTGCCTGGGCATGTCCAGACATGCCTCGTCGTGCCTGCTCCCTGCTTCCCCCTCTGATTGGCTGAGAAAGCCGCAGAGAGGAGAGAGCTACCATTCGTCTTTTCCTTCCCCGGTTCCTCCCCAGTTCCTCCCTCTTTGCCTGAGTCCCTATCCCTATTCATTTCCCTGGTTGTCTGTCTCATGCTCCACCCCATTTTCTGGTGCATTCCATACCAGAGCTCATAAAACCCTTGTGCACCCCCATTACAGTAGCATTGCATTGGAACCTCAAACCTCATCAGACTCCTTTATGCAGTGCTGCGATCCTTCTCCCCTCCCCCACGGACCGTAGCACCCGTCTCCTTCCAGAGAGGGCCCACATTATCCTTAGCCTTTCTTTCACTTGCAACATATCTATAGAAGCCCTTCCTGTTATCCGTAATATCCTTGGCCAGACACAATTCTAATTGGGCCTCGGCTTCCCTAAACTTGTCCCTAGCTTCCTGTACAATTTCCCTGTATTCCTCCCAGGCCACCTGCCCTTGTTTCCACTTCCTGAAAGCTTATTTTTTCACTCTGAGTTTGCTCAGCAGCTCCTTATCCATCTATGGAGGTTTCATGGCATTTTTGCCCAATTTCCTCCTTGTTGGGATGCATTGCTTCTGAGCCGAATATATGAACACATAAAATATCATTCCTGGTATATAGATTTGATACAACTTTCATGTCTTACCAGTGAATATGTAATCCTGAAGATGCATGTGTAATACGATACTAAGTGCCCGCCTGTATTTATAGCAGGCTTCCATAACTAGTGAAACAGTTAACAAAGTAGTTCTAAAGATACTCTTCAGACTTTTCATAATCATGTTTTAGGATTTAGGAGTCCCTTAAGGAATCTTTCTCTAGATAATAGGATTATGTAAAATTATCAGTAGGTGGACAAGCGTTAATTAAGAATAAAAGGCAGTCTTAAACAAATGTTTCGGCTTTTCCTGTTAAGAAAACAACACATATCATGGAATAGTTAAGAAAAGTAATATAAAGGGTGTTTTAAGCAAGTCCAAGGCAGAAGGGACAAACATTAGGACAGTGAGGTAATTTGTACTTTAAGTTTCTAATGTCAAATATATAAACTTACTCTCCCCAGAACTGCCTGTTGTCAAAATGAAAAATTTAAAAGTAAGGTCAATATGAATTCTCATCAATGACTCAACAACTCATATACTTTTCCTCTCCTCAGTGTAATAATAACTACTAATATTTTAATCAAAGAATTCCTCAAATTAAAATGTGGTCTCAGAAAGACAAAAGCATGAAATCAGCCTTTTTTCAATGAAGGCCATTCTGTCTATAATTGACATATTCAAGGCAATATTTCAGACTCCTATGAAATGTGATTTTTAAAAATATCACACTAAAAATGACTTAATGCCATTTCCTTTCCTTCTAAAAGGCTTTCAGTAAAATCAGCTAAAAGAAATGTAGAGGGCAAAAAACCCCACCTTAATAACAGCAAAACTGGACCAGTAAAAAAGGCAAGTATCAAATGCTTCAGCTTCTAAAGAAGTTCAATTTGTATGTGAAAGTGAAGGCCAGATATCTAAATAAAATTCAAGTAGGAATAAACGACAGAATTTCATGAAGACCAAGAATTTCACACCTAAAATTATAAAAACAAATGATAGTGCCAGCTCACTTTTTCATTGTTCCAACGTTCCTCTTTCGCAATCCTTTGTCTGCATTCCTTTTGCAAGTCTTCTAGCTGTGCCTGTAACTCATGAACTTTTGCTGTCATCTCTTCTTCACGCGACTTCAAAATATAGGGGAAAAAAACTTACTTATACAATTACCCAACTTATCAATGAAAACCTTAAGTACAGTGGATATAAATCAATCAACAGAAGTTATGCTATACACAGAAAGAATATGCTTGAAATCTGGTATAAAAGCTATATACACAAGAGGACTACAGAATAGAACGAGAAACAAACAGGGGTGCTCAACAATAAAGATTACATAGTTAAGATTACAGTTAGCTTTTTAAAAAATTACAAAAAAGTCCTATTTCTCTTGGGCACTAAAACAGTATTTGAGTATAATCCAGTGTGTGAAGGTCATAACCTTCACGAAGGGGTCAGATGATGATAGGTAGTTAATTCCTATACTGTGGAAATGACAAGGACTTAAATCCTTTCCTCAATCACTCTCACAGAGATGGTACTAAAGCAGTTTTAAGCACATTTTCAGAAACAATGACCAATGATTTCCCTATTCACAAGGGTCTGAAAGGCCCTAATGCAGTGTGGGGGAAAGAAGCAAGAATGGTAGGAAGGAAATGAACTTTTCTTGTAAGAGACAAAAGTATGATGACCTAAATCCTAGCAAATTAATCTACCCATATGACACTCTGCAAAAACAAGTACTTTTTAAAATTGTGTCCCCTCTGGCCTTTCCGAGAGATCACATGTTAGGGACATCATAAAACAGCACTCCAATTCCAAGTGTATGTCTCTACTGCCAAATGAAACTAAAACTCTAGTTTCACTCATGCTAATCACACAGGGCAGTCAGCTGACTGCTCTGCTACTCAGTAGTACTTCCAATAAAATTAGTACAATTAATCAACTGAAAACAAGCAAAGAACAGCTGATGGAAATTTTGTTCTGTTAAAAAATCTCAGAAGTACGAATTATAAGGATACAGTATATTCACTAGAAAAGCAAGTGTAGAACTAGAAAACTGATCCAGGTTAGATTTAGAGTATGTCATTACTAAAAAAATAATTATTTCCCTGCAAGGCCAATTTTTAATGTTCTTTGCACCTGATATAAGAATGAAACACCCTCCCCCTGCAGCCCCTCAGCCCAAAAAGCATCATCAAAAAGAAAAAAAGCAAATCTGCCCTTAGTGAATGAGAAGTCGTAGTATCTGAGCAATTCATAAAAATTGCTGTAAAGCCTAAAAGTTTTAAGAATATTCATCTTCAAGAAAAATCTTGTTCAAACATCATGACCTCCAAACAGTGTTAGCTTCTTTTCATTAACAAGATTTTTCTATGCCCTCAGAGGTGTATCAACAATTATCGTTTCTAAGATTGGGGTTTTTTATAGTTTTTATACTCCTTTAGTTAAAAATCCTCAATACCTGGCATATTCAGTGATGGTGGTGGTTGTTGTTTTGGCTTTTGGGGATTTTTTGATGTTTTTGTCCATCAAGAATCTAAAATCTTACTTCTACACTACTGTTTAATTAAATAAATCACAACTGTATGCACATCATTCTTAGTTATTAAAGGCAGTTAAAAGGTTGAAAAGAAATTCAACCCAAAATTATGAATGACACTTGCGTAAAAGGGACAATTTAATTTGTAATTTGAAATAATTAGAGAAGAAGTGGGGTTCCAACACGCTCTTGATCTGTATTTACAGCAATAACTTATTGTTCTATACAGCACCTGGCATATTCTGAAAATAAACTGCATGTCATTGGGATTTAATTACAGTTATAGACTAAGACTTCGATAAAGTTATGCTTTCCCAAATCTTAACCCCAAAGCCTATCCTCTACTCATATGGAAGGCATTACGACAAATTAAAGGACATATACCTGAAGTTAGGTAATTTATTTTTAGCTCATAGATAGGTTTAAAATGGGCTAGCTGGAACACAACATTCATTTTTTCTCTAATTGTATACCCTAGCTGAAAAAAAATACTCAGCCCCCAAATTACAGGCTATGCTGATTTACAAATCCTTTAATTAGGGAGACTTCTATGAAAACTTATGTGATAAAAGTTTTCATGAAAGATAAGAAAATACAACATAAAGCAAAAGTGGAGCACTTCACAAGTAAATCATGTGAAGTTTAACAAACTGAATGATTCCTGCTTGTCTTTAAGGATACATACTCGAATCAAGTTAGACTAATTTTTAGCATCATCAACCATGTTTAAAATGCAACAGAGAGCTACAAAGTTATATGAGCAAGATTAATTTTTGCAATTGGCTTTATTTTTGCTTCATCTTCTTACCATTTGTGACAGAGACAATCCTCTCTGCATAAATGTCATGATGTGAAATTTTTCAAACCTGTCATGAGCTAAGTCAAGTATAAGTGGGGTAATAACTGGTAACTCTAGGCTAAATCTGCTGACGCATATGCTCCTATTTCTACCAGAGATCTCAATGAACATGACATACCTTCAATTTAACGTAAGTATTTCTGAATTTTTGAGATGCTTGCAACACTTCTTCAGGAAAAAAAGGTGAAAAAAATAACAGAAACAAAACACACATATACCTATAAAAGAAACATGTAGTCTGAAATTTAAAATATCAAACTACAGTTTATTGCAGTTCCAGGCAACTGCCATTGCCATCATCAATGAGATGCAAAAAATGACAGTGTTCATGTCCTCCAATTACACAGAAGTCAAATCAGCCTAAACATTCAAGATTACAGAATGACTACAGCATGAGTGTTTCTGACCTACGTATGGACTGCAAGTATCAGAAAACAGAGGAATTACACCTGCGCAACTTCAAATCACATACCTATTTGGGGATATATATTGAGGACCTGAATGGCAACACACTGCACACTGAGGTAAGAGAAATCTAAATCCTCCAGAAATGCAAAATTTAGACCTATGTTTCAAAAAAACTTGATTCTTTTATATCATGCAATTTTTCTAAGCTACGAAAGAAAAGAAAGGGACTCTAAATTTAAAACCCTTCTAACTCCATTCAATCTGCTGGAAGTTGAAAAATCAAAGTGGAACACACCAACCTGCTTACATGTTGAAATTCTTAATATGGAATACTCAGTCATGTCCAGTTAAAAGAATTTTGGACTGGTAACTCAGCATAAACAAACAGATGTTCACTTACATTTACTGCTGTAGGCTCTATTAATGGGACATTCTCTTTTATTATATCATTTGTGCAAACAGGACTAAGATTAACAAAGCTAAAGCCTGCATGCCAATATGAAGTATAGTCTACCACTGAAAACCATTTAACCTTATGGTGCCATACATGCGGGACTGGGTCAATTAACTTGGCTAAAACAGCAGCCATCTTTGGTAAAGTAACCTTAGATGGAAATTGGCTGCTAACTTCTGGCCGAAATGCTACTAGGGCTAAACTATGTCTATCTGCAAATAGCATGCAAACAAACTGTTCAACACAAGTAAAAAAAGAAATCTTTACTAACGTAAGAACTATGCAAACAGACTGCACCCAGCATAGAACAGAACTTTACTTTAAGGGCTATGTTGCCAATCTTCAAACAGCATCAAAAAAAGGAGATAGAGAGTGAGACTGACCCATAAGCGCTGTATTTAAATCCTTACAAAAAAACAATACATCACTGCCACAACTCTAGTAAAGAGTCACTCACTTTCCTCATTCCAGTCTGGTACACAAATTGCTCAAGGACATAAGGACCTAATTGTATAGCTTTTATTCAACGATTAAGTTAGGGCTTAATTTCTGCTATGCCCACAAAACACAGAAACAACCATTTTAATTGCAAGCTAGGTCACTGGACATATCAAGTGTAATTCAGGCAGTAAGATCTTTACTAGAAAGAACTCCAGTTTTTCTGTCTAGCTGTGCAATCAAAAAAGACTTATTCTGAAATATATGTAGTCATACCACTTTTCAAAAAAATACCTCAAGGATTTCTTCATATTTTTTCACAGTTCTTTTTAGATCATCATCTTTTTCAACAATTTTTTTATGCAACTGAGTTGTCTCTATGTGATGATTTTCTATCAATTCATTTTCTACCTCCTGGGCTTTACCTATAAAAGAAAAGTTGGGCAATATTAAAAAAAGCATTTTTTTTTTTTTAATTATGTCATGACAGTATTTAAAAAAAGCTTAAAGACAAGGGTGGAAAGCAACTATAAGGAAAATTTGCCGGGAAAATTCATTTTTTCACACTTCCAATAACTATTATGTCACTTGATCCTAATATGTATCAAGTTTGTCGTCTGCAGTTTGGTACCTGGAGCAGTTTCTTCTACCTGGAACTTTTCCCTAAAAGTTAAGATGACAACCAATATTTATCAACTAATTCTATCTCCTACTCTATCTAGATAAGTGATTGAAATATCTGTAAATCTTCAGAAATTCTTCATCTGTAGAGGTACTTCTAGTAACAGTGAAGTCAAAACATACTTTTTGTTCACTTCTCTAATCTCCAATTTACACTATGCTTGCAAAAGATGGACAGAGAAGCTGAAATATGCTGTACTCTAGTTATAACCACATGGTATTGCAATCAGACACCATAACCAGCTGCACCTGTTAGTGGTTACAGTGAATGAAATCTGCAAGAGGCAGCTAAAAAAATGCTATTCTGATTCTCATATGGATCTACATTTCTCTAAAAGGCACCCTTCATTGCCATATATTCAACAATGGAGTGTTAAAGTGTGCACTACTGCAGACAACGTACTACTGCAATGAAAACTCCCCAGTGTACTTTCACCTGAAAAGTCTTACTCCCTTTTTTTTTTCTTCTAAACATATGACAAAAAGACAGGCTATAATGGGTAACTCTTGCCATGACAGATGTAAACAGAGTGCTAGATCAAAGATCCATCCTGCAGGGTAAGGATGAACACCTACACATGGACTTTCCTAATTGTACTAAAATTAATATTTATATGTTATCTCCCAAGCAAGGGAAGTTCTTCCCCTGGGTTCTCCAGGCATTCATAAAACATGTGTTTATCACAGTCCCAGGTAAAATTGCTTCCCCAAAACAACTGAAGATTCAGTTTTCTGACTATTTTACTGATTACAGTTATATTTGTATTTCACTTACTGATTGTCTCTTTTACTGCTGCTTCCAATTCTCTCTCTTTTTGAGCCAGCTGAGTATTGAACTCTCTCATTAACTGCTTTAAGGTAGAGTTGTGCTTTAACTCAATGTCTTCTTGTTCACATCTGTACAAAAACGTCAAAAAAATACAGTGAGGAAATAAAATGTTTAACAAGTGTGCAAGAACAGTTTAGCAAGGTCAGAGATGTGGGAGTTTCTCCAAAACTACTTTAAAATGGGATGGTTTTGAATTATATGAATTCTGTGAGAATTTTGTTCCCCCCCCCCTATTTATTTTACCTGGAAAGAGTAGGTGTTTCATTTAAAAACAACCCAGAATTGAACCCTTTCAAAAGATATGGAGTTGAAGATCTGGAAGCAAAGAATGTGCCATAAAAAGTAGAATTTTTAGGGAATTTGTTGCTTGAGAAACTATTAAGAGTGCTGAGCATTACACCACATTTTGCACAGTACATATGGACAGTTCTTGATAACATCTGAACATGAAGCTCTCAGTACTAAGTTTTAAATTTCACTTCCTTTTTGAGAAAAATAGAATTATATTTACTGCTTTGGCAATGCTGAAAATGACCATCACTGAAAGAGATCAGAAGCAGTATTACTCTGGCGAAAGTCAGACTTCTTTTCTTTCTGTTTATCTATTTTAGAAAAATGACAGAAAATTACCAGCCATTATTTCCTCATTAGAAACTGAGTTTTAGAAAAGTATTCTTGAGGTTTTAGTGGTTAAAGTACAGAAATGGTAACATAAACAGGAGCAAAGAGTATACCTGATTTTCTGCTCCATTTCTTCTAAGGACTCCTTCTTTACTATATCAAGCTCTTGCTGATGTTCTTTTCGCAAAGTACGTAAGTCTTTTTGAAGATTATTAACCTCTTCATGTAGTTTCTGTTTCTCCCTTTCAGTCTCTTCCAGTTTAGTCTGTAAGTCCTTCTGCTGGTTCTGCATATCACTTAGTAATTTCTGCAGCTCCAAAACAGATTTAGCCTTTTCTTCAGCATTTTCCTCAAAAGCTTTCAGACTATCATTTCTTTCATCCAACTGTTGCTGTAAACATTTTAGCTTTTCTTCATATCTTAAACTTGTATCTTCCATCTCAATCTTATGCACTTCATTTTTCTTCACTAGATTATTTTCTAACTCTTTTATCTTCTGTTCTAAAGACTGACTGACTGCCTCCTTTTCCTGCAATTTTTTCTGGAAATCTCCAATTATATTCTCCATATCAAGGTGTTTTTGTTCTTTACCTTTCAATTCTTCCCTACTTTTTGCTAAATCACCACCACAACAAGCATGCTCATCTGCTAACAGTAAGTATTTTTTGCTTTGCTCCTGAAGTTCCTTCCTGAGGCTTTCGGTCTTACCCTGCTCTTCCTGATGGCTCTTCTCAACATATTCTAGTTTTTTAAGGAGTTCTTTCTGTTTGTTTTGAAGTTCTAGATGAGAGTCATTACTCTCTCGTTGTTCTTTCTCATACTTCTGCAATAATTCATCTTTTTCAGTTAAGCCCTTCTGTAACACATGCATTTTCTCTTCGTATGTCTGTTGGATACTCTCAAGCATGTTATTTTTTTCTTGTTCTACAGCAGCTTTTACACTCTCTAGTTTTTCTAGCATTTCCTTCTCTAATTCTGTGGAATCTCTTGTTGACTTAATTTTTTCTTCTAAGGACTCGATTTTGGCTTCTCTCTCCTGCATTTTCTGTTTCAACTCTCTTAACTGATCCTCTCTATCTTGCTTAAATTTCTGTTCCTTTTCTTCCATCTGAGACATTAATTGCTTTCTAATAGAACCTATTTTTTGCTCTGCCTTCTTCTTCAAATCTGCCAGCTTAGTGCTGTTCTCTACATTCAGTCTCTCTTCTAATTCTTTCAGTTCTTCCTCTTTGCTTTTAAGCATCACTGACTTCATTTGATCAAATTCCCTCTCCTTTGCTTCAAAATCAGCTTTCAGTGACTCTATTTGCTTCTCAAGATTAAGCACTTTTTCTTCAGCCTTCTTAAACCTATTGTCTTTTTCAAAAGCCACCTTCTCTGCCTGCTGGAGTTGCCAAGCTATCTCTTTTTTCTCTGTGTCTTTTTGTTCATTACACTTTTTAAGTTCCTCCACCAAGGAATCATTTTCTGAAGTTTTCTGAGCAATGTGTTTTTCTAGTTCAGCAATTTTTGCTGCTTGTTTTTTTAATTTTGAGGTTAACTCACTTTCTTGTTTTTCCTTCCTGTTTTGCTTTTGTTCCAATTCACTTTTTAAACTATCGAGATTCTTGGTTTGTTTAGCCAGCTGCTCCTTCAGTTTATTTAGCTCTTCATCTTTTTTACTGGTTGCAGTATTGCTTAATTCAAGTTTGCTCTGCAAATCTTTAATAGTATCATCATTTTGTGTAAGCCTGGTTTGTGCTTTCATCTTCCACTCTGACAGCTGGGCCATGCAATCAAGGGCTGATGCTTTTTCTTGACTCAGCATCTCAACTCTGGATGATAACTCTTGTATCTGGTTTAACAACTGCAACTGATCCTCTTGATGTTGCTTGCTTAACAGAGAAATGGCTGCTTCCTTCTCTGTTAAACTTACTGTGCTCTCAAGCCTAACATTAAGGTCATTAATTGTTTTGTTGAGAGCAGACACTTCAGATTGTTTCTCCTGGAGTTCCTCCCTCATTAATGTAACAGCATTGATATTTTCAGATAACTCTTTCCTCAGCTGTGTTATGCAAGTTTCTTTCTCTGATGCTGCTTGCTGCTGATGCCCACCCTCTTTCTGCAATTGTTCCTTTTCTGTTACAAGTCTTTCAATGTCAGCTCTCATGGACATAATTAAATTGTCCTTCTCTTGCAGCACCTGCATTGACTTTTGTAAAGAAGTAGTAGCAGCAGAATGATGCTCTGTTATTTCTCTAAGTTGAGCTTCTAGTTCAGTTATCTTACTTGTTTTGATTAATACTGCTTCTTTAACTTTTGCAGTTTGGCGCTCACAGTCTGCAATTTTGCATGTTACTATGCTAATTTTTTCATTACATTTTTCAATTAATTCATTGCCTTTTGTTTGCAATGAAGCTTCAACATTTTTCCAATAAGCATCTAACTGGGCTGTAAGTTCTCCTGACAACCTTTTAAATTCAGTTTCTTTTAGCTGAATCGCCTCTATTTTTTTCTCATAATTTTTATGATCTTTATACTGAGAAGATTGCACAGTTTGGAGTTGCTCTTCAAGAGTTTTCAGTCTATCAGCCAGCTCAGTAATTTTAGCTTTGTCCTTCTCTTCAACTGCTTTTTGTTTACTGAGTTGCTCCTGAAGTTTTGTCTGCTCTTCCAAGGACTGTTTAAGATCATCCTCCAATATTCTCAACTGTGTTTTCAGGTCACTTTCTGTATCTGACAAACTGTTCACCCTAGCCACTGACTGCCTTAGCTGTTCTTGCAATTCCTTCAGGCACTCCTCCCTTTTCACTTGCTCTTCCTTCAGTTGGGTTATTTCTATTCTGGAGTCCTCCTTTTCAGCAGTGAAGACGGCAAGCTTCTGTTTCAGGTCTCCAACTTCCTGCTCTTTCTCTTGCAGTTCCATATCATGTTTTTCCTGGAGCTCTTCAACCTGCTGATTAAGTTTCTTTTCCCAACTTTGGATAATTTCTTCCAAATTCCTCTTATGATCCTCAGCAAGACTCTCTAGTTGCTCTTTCTGATTAGATTCAAGTTTTGACACAGCTTCATTCAACATTCCAGTTGAGCTGGCATGTGCCATTTCCAACATTTTAGCATTGAATTCACTCTCTTTCTGACTGAACTCCAACTGCTTGTTTTCAAGCTCATTTTTTAGTTTAGCTTCCTGCTCAGCAAGTTTCTTTTTGAAAGTTTCCTGCATATCTTTAGATTTCTGCTTCATTTTTTCCATTTTCTTTTCCTGACATTTCAGTTTATTTTCATACTCTCCTTGTAAAACACTAATTTTCTCCTCTGTGGCTAACAGTTTCTGCTTAAGTTCTTCCACTTGGTTGTTCTGTAATTTCTTCATGTGCTCAATTTCATTTTCCTTCTCAGTTAGACTTCTCTTCATCTCATCAACCTTTCTTTGTAGATCCTTCAGTTGACATTCATACTGTTGTGTTAGAGAGGTTACTTTTTCGTTGCTTTGCTCCTCTAGCTTTGCAGACACTTGGACAAGTTCAGCTTCAGATCTTTCTGCAGATTCCTTTAGTTTCTGTTCATGTGCTTTTAATTCTTCCAAACGCCTTTCTTTCTCCTCCAGGGATTGCTTGAGCGTGTTGAGTTCCTCTTTGAGCACTTTCTCAACACTTTGAATAGACATTTCATGCTCTCTTAACATTTTTTCAATCACTTCATTGTGCCGTTTCCTCTCTTCTTCCAACTTTCCTTCCAATTCTTGCTTTGCTTCACACACTTTACTATTTAGTTCTGAGAGCTCTTGTTCTAAATCATGACGTATTTTTAGTGCTTCTGATAGCTCAGAAGACAGTGCTTCTAGTTCTGTTTGTTTCACATCAAGTTTTTCTAATGTTTTTTCATTCATCTCTTCTATGTGTGCATAGAAAACTGTTTCCTTTTCTTTCAAAATGGTATCTATCTCTTGTTGTTGTTTCTCTCTTATTTTTTCTATTTCAGTTATTTGTTGTTGCTTTAAAATTTCAAGTTTTTCTGTCCAAAGACTTTCTTGCTGCTGTTTCACATTCTCCAATTCTTTATTGTGTTTTTCAACCATATCATTGATTTCCTTACTGTGCTGCTTTTTTTCAGACTCTATGAGAGTACTTAATTCCTCTGACTGCTTTCTGTCACCTTGCGAATACTTTGCAAGAGAGCTCTCCAGTTCAAGAATCCTCTGTTAAAGAATATAGTTTTAAAAGAATATGAATATTCAAAAGGTAACAATTCAATTAAATTTTTAAAAATCTTACCAGGCTGAGATTATTACAAGTCACTTATTTCATTATTTTACTGAATATCAACTATTTTTATAAGCCTTTCATTCATCTAGTTTGTTCTCACCTTTGCTTCTATGAAACAGAGTTAGTTATTTAATAAAAAACTTTCTATTTCACTGCAGTGAAAATGAAGTGTGAAAAGAATGTAACTAATTCAAATAAAATAAGTCATGTGATATTTATGAGAGATATGTTTGGATTTTCTTCTTAAGCTAAAGTACCAACAAATAAGATGAAAGATACTGGGAATCTATGGTAGCACTAAGGAGTTTTGTACCTATCTACTGAGTTATCTGAATTCCACCTCATGTGGAAATGGTGCTGTAAAGTTGAAATGCTTCTATAAGCAAAACTTCCAAACTAATACTTGGGAGTGGTGGAATAATGTACAAACTTGCATTAGCAGATAATACAATCTTACCCATTACATAAAGCAGAAGATACTTGAAAAATTGAAGTAGAATTTTTATTTCCTAAAGTATCCTTTTAAGTGTTTTTAAAGTAGCAGTACCCAGAAATTAAACAGGCTGAAGTTTAACTTCTGCATTACATACATAAAAATTATGTAGATGGATACAAATTCATATCTCATGCCATGATATAAAGTGAATGTATTTCTATATTTTGCCATCTTATCTAGTAAAGGGCTAGGAGCCGCAGCATACCATAGCAATACGTTACATTTCTGTCGCTTTAATCCCACAAGAAGCATTTTGGGATTAAAACGACCCAATCACAACAAACCCGCCCTCTATTTGTAAACCTGTCACAGTTAAGCACACAGTGAAAGGACTACTTGTAAACGTTTACTCTTTTGGAATCTTTACTCACAGTTCTAAAAGTCTCTACTTCTTGATGCATCTTCTGAACTTTCTTGTCACACTCAGACTGTATGGCTTTCTTCTGCAGCTCTAATTCTTCTAAGGCTAGGGATTCTTGCTGTTCTTGCTCTTGAAGGGTTTTTAAGCACTCACTCTGATTTTTTTCCTGCATGAAGAAATACAACTAAAACAATAAACTATAAATACAGTCATCACACCTTCAAAAACATTATGATAGGATATTTTCAAATCAGTTAACAGGAGTACACTAATCACCTTTATTTTCTACACACACACACAGAGAGTTTGTTTTCATGTGTGAAAACAGAATTGTAATAAATCACTTGCATTTTCTCTTCTTGGGAACCATTTGTCTTCTATTTCTCTTTGCATTAAAAACATAATGCATCCCAGCGTTTCATTTTAGTTTGTTTACCACTATTAATTGAGAATAACATCTTAAAGGAATAAAGGTCTGTTCTCCTTCGATTCCACTGTTAATGCAATTTTAAGCCTCTGTTCCTTATAATTAAGAAAATAATCTGAGAAACAGGTAGAAAAATATAGTCAGGAAAGGACCTCAGTTACAGTCACCATCCATCATGGAGTGGCATAAAAACCAATCTAGTATTTGCTAGGTAAAATTACACGATGATCTGAAGTAGATTATAGCTTTGCAAAAAAGAGCAAAGAATTCCAGTGATTCCTCCCAACCTGACCTAGAAGAAAATTCTTTTTCTGAGATCTGATGCTATGAATAGTTAACCCTGTTCACATAACGCAACCAAACATAACCATACCAACGCTTTTCAAATAACAGCCTCATTTCTTGTACATCTTTTACTCTAGGCTGCCGTGGCTAATTACCAGTGATTCAGAGGAAGAAATTAAAAAAACAAGTCTAAATAAAATTTTCAAAAAACGAAACCATTTCCAAAAGACGCAGCTGTTAGTGAGCATTGATAGTAATAAGTTATCATTATTCAGTCTGGATCACTGCAGCTGCTTTCTTTTCATGTTGCTGAAGTCTCTGAGCTATTTGAGTTTTGGAGAAAACTCCTATCCTTGAGCACAGAAGGACTCTCACTATGGAATAGTGTCAGATCAAGACTTCTAATCCCAACTCACACTTAGAGAAATGTCTTTCTACGCATTTTAGGTTTACTTACAAGAGCTGCCTTCATCTTCTCCTGGAACACCTTTTCTTGTGCCTGTAATCTCTCATTTAGCTCCTGATCTTTGGTAGCCATTTCTTTTTTATGGATTTTTTCTAGTTCAGCAACTCGTTCCTCTGAAGACTTCTGTGAATCAAAGTCAGAAAAAACTCATTTCAAATATTAAATAACAAAACACTTTGTATAATTTCTTAATAAGAAAAGCAGTGCAACAGAGAGAAGAAACCAGAATCATCTCTTTACTCCCTTTGAATAAGTAACGAGTTAATACTAAGCCCTGATAGCTCTTATTTTCAGGCTTGAAGTTATCCATCTTCCCTTCTCAAGTTTTTCACAGTACTACTAAAAGGAATGTCACATTTTCTAAAGACTCTTCTACCAAGGCAAACAGTATTTTCAATTCAAACATTGGACAAGGAACTTCTTTCTGCAGCTTTCCCTGTATTCTTGTTATTTCATGATCCACAAAGTCAAGTAGTGATACTCTTTGAAGACAGTTGCCTACTATATGTGCTTTATTTAAGAATAATGTAAAGCACGTCAGTCATCCTCCTAAAGGATCAGAGTATTCTCTTAGAAAAATTAATACCATTACAAATGTCAACAAAAGAACTGTAACTTAAAGGTGTTCAAATTTACAGCTTTGCAATGCATGTGCAGTACCCCTGCAATTCTGACCTGAATACACCAGATGAAGTAAATTTTAGCAATTCTTACACCAGCAAACAATCAGGCAACAAGTTCTTAAACATTTACACATACTCAGCTAGGATAATGATTAAAAGATCTTAGTATTGAAACCCAAAATCTTGGTGGAGATGCATGACCTTACCACCATTAATTTCTTCTTCTTGACTCCCTTTAAAGTCTGAAATGTACCTCTAATAAATAATTTTAATAAACACTGTGAAACAAAGAGTCATACTGTTCTTTTTTACATGCCACTGATGTACTGATTTTAAATTGTTAGAGGAAAAAAAGTCTATGAGGAGTTTTCTATTTTGCTTTAAGTAAATCATTAATCATAGAAAATAATTTTTATAGATTTTATTAAACAGCAAAATTATAACAAAGCTCTGATATACTGATGTATTTTACAACTAGAGATTAATTTAATTAAGCTTTTACCTTCATAATCTCAACCACCTCTTGTTTCACTCTGGTTAATTCCCGTTGAAGATTTAACCTCTCTTCTTCACTTGCCTTTTCTATCGCTTTAATTTTTTCATCCATTTCTGTCTGCAGTTTTTTCCGGGCTTCCTCTGTCTTTTGGGCAATACTTAGAGCCTTTTCAAGCTCTTCAAAAGCTGCCAAGAAAAAGAAGTGTATGATAGTCAAGAAATACCTATGTCCTTTGATAGAAGAATTACATAAGTAAGAGAAGAATGAACTTAGGAATCCATCAAGAATTCACGTGTTTATTATCTAGGAAAAAAAGAGAACAGACAAATAGCTGTGAATGTCTTCTAATACATCCTGTAGCTTCTATTTCCTCCCCTAAAATCACTATAAAATAAATAAACCATATAAGTGAATGAACTATGGCTCCTCTTCTGCCTATATTTGCTGAATAACTTTGAAAAAGAGGAAAACAGCTGCACAAAGAAAAGGCAATTCACAAGTTGTTCTTCCAGTAAAGCAGACAGAAACATAAACCAAGAATGACTACTACACAAGTCAGTTTTTAGTGAATAATGAAAGAGATCTTCCTAAATAGAACACTCAAACGTAATACTTTATTTACTTAAGAGGTGTTAACTATAAACTGTAAAACCTAAAGAATCTTCTCTTTAACTGTGGGTTTCATAGAGTCCACAGAGATGGCTTCGCTAATTTCATTTTTTCACTACTTATATTTAATGTACACTACTATCAGTGCAATTCAGAAACATTGGAAAAATGCTTGAGTGTTGAGAAGACTGTCTTGTGCTTCTAAACTTCAAAAATAAAATGCAATTAAAAAAAAATTGCTCCCAGAAAACTTGAACAGCTGTGTTTCAAAAGAACACTAAAGTTGCAGTGATGAAATTTATTTACACCCGTGTAAGATGCATGAATCCACTGAATCCATTTTAATTTACAAATCAAAAGCATTAATTCCCCATCTTCATCCCATGCTAAGGAGATGTATCCTAACATATTTTATCCACTTCCTAAATGATAAGTTAGATATAAAAAGAAAATAAATCCCTGTATTATGAGCCGGTTTATTACTATTACTCAATACCAGTATTTGAGTTCCTCACTAAAACTGATGTAAGAAGCTATAGAGAACTACACAAGACTAGAGCTTGATCACTATTAGGGAAATCTCTTTTCCTGAATGGATCACGAATATGGAAACCCCCTGCTGCATATTAAAAAAATTTCGTGTCAGAACACTCCACTATATCGCTAATACTTTGCATAACAGAATTTTGGCAAAGCATCTCTATAAAACTCAAAATCACAGTGCCAATATCAAGACTGTAATTTATCAGAGCACAACCTCCTAAAAGTATATTTTTCTACTATACCATGGACTACTTGGATTCTAGTTTGGGAGGAGAGAGAACAAAATAAATTTTTAAGTGTAATTAACTATGATAAGCTTTCTTCCACTTAGTTCTATTCCCAAAAGAAAATTTTAATAGACATGCACATCTCTAGTGTCTTTGATTCACCGTTACTTGGCAGGCATTCACAGGAATTCTTGCAATACTTGCTTTTTTTAAAGTATATTTAATAACATTCAGGTATGAGTTTGAGAAGTGGATAATAATTTCCATTCCACATCTTTTGATAACATTTAAGACTGAAGATTTGAACCACAATCTGTACTCTTAAGGCAATGTTGCAAATATGTTTTCAAGTAACTTAATTTCATAAAACTGCATTCACACAAATCTGATCTTTTGCAGAATTTTCTTCTGTTTTTTAAGGAAGCCTTTTTCTGACTACTCACAGAAACAATCATGCTTTAGGGCAAAACAGAGCGGTTACTGACTGGAAATACCAAAGCACACCATTGTATCCACTTTTTCACTCTTGGTTCTGCTTAAATACTAAAACTATTACAAAAAATTAAGAGCGCTAGAAATTATTTCAAACAGGAAAACAATCTAAAATATATTACAAGCATGCACTAGGCTTATAGCTCCTAATGTTATACAGTTCTTCACAATCCTCAAGGCATTTGCCACCTGCAACCCACAGGACTCAAGTCCTCCCTCCTTGCTACCCTGGGTACAACTCAATTACGAACACGGTCTGCAAAAACTGTGTTTGGAGAATGGTACTGACTTCCCTGACACTCCTCTCAGTCCTAACAAAAGCAGGCACAGCCAGGAAAAACTGGTCAAGTCCTTCAGTATTACAGCACCATAAATGTCTTAAAAAAAAAAAAAAGGCAAATCACCCTACAGACCTTTACAAAGTGTAGTTTGAAACTAAAGCCTGCAAGTACAAGATTAAGTTATTTCACTTTTCCATGCACATTTTCTGATTCTTTTTCTGAGCACTATGTACTTTCCTTCCATTTGAGAAACTGTTACTTCTGCAAAAGGAAAGAGAATGCATTTTCCACAGCCCACAAATCTGCCAAAGAGAAGGTCCAGGTTCACACTAGGATTGACTACTGATATGAAATTGCTGAGCAACATGCAGAACAACAGCTGCATCACCATAATCACAAGCAGGATGCTAATACAAAAGCTAGACAGAAGCTGATGGATAAAAAGCCAAGAGGATATGAATGCACAAAGAAGCAACACTTCACAAAAACACACTTAGCTCTCTAAAAGTTGAATCATATGCATCTCAGGCACTTCTGGCACTTAAGCAAAACAGAACATTTTTATTGAAAGTAGTTAATTCTAGTGTAGCCTGACACAACCAAGTTTCAAAACAGCAGAGGGCTAAACTATAATCAAGTAGACAGAATATTGTCTCCATTATTATTGTTATTTTTAATCTGTGGGAGATTTTAATTCTACCACGTATAAAAACCTGGAATAAAGTCCTTGTTTTTATTTAAATACATCTATTCTGAATGCAGAGAGTAAAGGCACTGCCCAGTGTTCTTCTCCAACATGCAGAGCTTTGTTGAGGGAAGGTCTTCCAATCAAGGACTGGTTGAATGAAGTCTTACAAAGGCATATTAGCAAATTAGAAACAGTAACAAGCACACCAACAGAGTCTCAGGTGAATCTTGCAAAACCCCATTCACATGACCAAGCCAGACAAACTGGAAACCTTCCAGTGCACTAAGTAAATAAAAAAAAAATGAGCCTGAGCAGAGTTTAAGGAGTGCAAGGTTGCAAAACTGATTCTTATAAAATGTGTGCTGGAGAACTGACTGCTTTACCTACGCCACTCCAAAGTACCAGTCTCGGTTCCCTTCGCCTTGCCTATCCTACCCAGTGAAGTATCAGTCTGTGCTCCACAGACTTCTCGCTTCCTTGCCCAGCGCCGCAGACCTCTTATCTTCAACTACAGCGCCATCTAGTGCTAAAAATTGTGAAGAAAGCACTGGCAAAGGGCTTAGATATCTTGTCCAAATCTTGAGAAACAAAGGTCAAATTAATTTCCTACAGCTGATTTGTGCATCTAGGCAGGATTTAAATGCACAGTCCAAGCTTTTTTTTCTCTGTAGAAAGGTTCAAAGCATATGTTAATTAAGCTTACAAAAGAAATGCCTACAAAGAATAGCATTTGCTTTCTAAAGACTTTGTTCACTGAACAGAATACAAGAAAGTCCATAACCTGCATCCTGAGAAATCAGAAAGGATTTACGTCAGGTAATCTCAGAAGAAACAGTACCAGTAAATTTACAAATACTAAAAAGAGCTTTGTTGAAAAAAAATGAGTTGCAGTTACTTCAAGTAGAAATGCCTGAGAAGCACAGAATTTACTTTTTAGAGCCCAGTTCAAGCACCCAATGTGTGATGTAAGAAAACAGAGCCCTTACCCCAGTCCTGTTCATACAAGGCTTGGGAAAGGCACCATGATTCACTTATTGGCATGTGTGGATGCACAAAAAACAAGATGTTCTGTGAGATTTTAACATAATGTACCTTTAACTAAAAAAAAAATTATCTTCAACTGGGGAGACCAAGTTACGAGTTTACAAAACACGGCAAAAAATAAGCATACATATCATTTTGCTATTTCATTACACAAAAATGCATTCACATTAATCAAACACTGGAGCAATTCACTAAGGTCACTGGAAAGGAAAAATGCCAGACACATAACACTAGGCAAGTTAAAAAGATGATGTGGAAAACTATACCACTCCAATACAGCACTACAAAATTAAATTTCAAGTATAAATGTATCATGCTAAGCCTAATTTCGCTAAAACATAAATGAAATTAACATTTGTACTTCATTTCCTGAAATAATTTTTTCACTAAATCATCATATAGGAAAAGAAGTCTAGAATCTAACGGTCCAGATGCAATTCTGTGCCAAGTGCTGTAGGATGACCCTTGCTTGAGCAGGGAGGTCAGACCAGATGACCCACTGTGGTCCCTTCCAAACTTAGCCACTCTGTGATTCTGTGAAAGTCATCTCAGATGTACTAGCAATAAACCAGAACTTTAAATGTTGACCTCAAATACATGAAATCACCAAATTCACAAAACCAGTTCAACTCAAAGGTTGTGACCTAGAAGCAATTTCAGGCTGTCCCAATATGCATGGTGACTTTCTAAACCATCTGAACAATTTAGTTCAACTGTAGTGAACTACGCTTTCGTTGTCCATCACAACATTTTTTGAATGCATTCAGCTAAGGACGTAACAGAAAAATCTAGTAAGGTCACCTTACAATTCTGTCTTTGACGTAGTGTTAACTGATTTTCCAAGGGTTCCAACATTTATATATGCATGCTTAATAGAGTACAAAAATAAATGCACTCATAATAATAATAAATGCACTCATAATAAATGCACCATAAAAACTACCAAAAGTACTTTAAAATTTTGTTTAAAAACCAGCACATTTAACATACAAATCTCACCCTAGAAAAGCGTGGTGTACTCAATACATTATTCATTTAAATGAAATTACTTCTCATTAAAATAGGTCAGGTTTCCAGGTTTCCAGCATCATATCTAACCCATTTTCAGCTTCTGGCTAGGCAAACTTGAAGAAACTATTGTATTAAGCAGAGTGTGTAGATATTACTTCATAATTAAGAGGTTTCTACTGCCTCAAAAAATGCTGTATTTCAAACAACTATGACAATAACTTCATATCTACAGAATTGTTAAAAGAGTTTTCAGCTTCTTTTTTTAATCATGAAGAGGAGCTTCCTAGTCTCCAAGTACTAAACAAAATACAACTCTGGCAGGACTGACTGAATCTGAAGTATGAATTTCCAGACCTAAAAAGACACACAACCTAGAAGGGTAGGAGAGGAAATGATTAAAATGTTTGTTACTTTCACAAGATGGATGTTCAAGCTGCTTTTATTACAGCAGAATGATCTACCCAAACTAATCTTTAAAACTGTAAGTTCTGATCTAAATCTATGTACATATAAAATACACCACTAGAAACTGAATTGTTTGAACTTCTCATTGCTTTTTAGAGAAAAATACATATAATATTTTATTCAAACTAACACTCGAGCTTCTGCCAAAAGAGTGAGCTCCTCTACATGCCTATGAGAGCAAACTAAATTATTCTAAAAGAATTTGATTACAGTACAAAACAATTTCACTGCTCAAAAAACAAAGGTTTAACTTCACTTGAAGCAAAAGAAGAACTGCAAGCACACATAAATAATGTTACCTAATTTCCATCAAAAGCAAACTACAGCATGTAACAGTTACATAAATGCTATGTTCCAAGCCTGAAGCAAAAGGAATCATTACTGCTGTTTCACTAAAGAGAAATCAGAAATGCTTCCATTAGAATTATTGAAAGAAAATGCTTATTATAGTTGTAACACTTATTTCTACTTCTTCACAAATTCTTATACACTGTTATGTCTTCTATGTAAAATACTGTGGTGTTATACGACCATTTATGGGTAGCTGCAAGTTCCTCTTCTGAAGTAATACCAGCAAAAAACTCTATCAATCTTTTTCCTATAAACAGAGAAGTACAGTTGCCCTTCAGCAGATTCCCTCCAATCTCCAGTTTTATCGGTAACTGACACAAGCCAGCCAAAAACATCCTGCTGACCAGAAGTGAATTTAGTAATGATGCTAGCAGGGGTGATATGTAGAACATTAGGAAAAAGAGCATCTCTTAATATCCATTCCAAATAACAACTGATGAAAGAGTGTAAAAGACCACACTTTCTAATGTTTAAATGTGAAAACTAATAATCTCAAGAATTTCTTACCAGCTCTTTCAGATTTTTCTTTCTGTTCCTTTAATTCCTCGCCTTTTGTAGTTATCTGTTTGATCCGAGCACGCAGTTGGGCTATCTCCTCCTCCTTCATTTCCAACGTTTCATGCATTTGTCGCTTTGTCTCTGCAATTACCATACCCTATGGAAAAGGTCCTTGTGATAAAAAGCTAGCAAATAAATAAAACATATAGCTGAAACAATTTCAAGCCAGGACACAATCCTTGTCAGGAATAAACTGTAGTCTATTACTGCAAGACCAAAGACCATGGTATTTGTCTATGTCAGAAAACACAAAATGCTAACCAAAAAGAGGTAAGAATAGGGATTATTTTTAAGAGTATCAAAAATTTATCTAGTGGTGAGAAGAACTCCAGCAACCAAGTACCATCCAAAAACTTCCTCCTTCTGATACAGACACTTTTCTTTGAAATATGCATTCTGTAAACAAACCCAAAATAAAAGCGTTGTAGAGTCTGTGCTTCTCCTTGGAGAACATGCACATACAATGTTAGTCCCATCAATTATTACACCACCAGAAGTTACTCCAAGTACCAAGACTGTGATTAAAAAAAAACTTTTAAGGAGCAAAAAAATTATAAACTCTTCATTTTCCGTAGAAACTACAGTTACTTTTCCTTCACTGTCATTTTCTAATTCATTTAATTGTATCTCATCTTTATTTGTGTTTGGGGTTTTTTTTGGTTTGTTTTAAAGCTGACATCAAAGAGTGTATCCAGTATAATTGCTTCATCCTAAATATTATCATCTTGCAGTATTAAGTATAACCCAACAGACAAAATACCCTGTGGTATATATACACCATTAAATTCTCAGGTAGCTTAAATTATTTATTAAAACATTAACCAGACCATCAGATCACTAAGAACAGCTTCTAATACCAAGAAGCAAGATATTTTGCATTTTCTTCCTCAAAATCTACAGTTTTGTTTACCTTGTCTTGCTCTAGCTGTTCAATCAAATTCTTTGCATCACGCAGCTGCGTAATGAGTTTAGTCTTCTCAGCCATGTGAAGGTCCTAAAAAAAAGACCCCAACCAGAAGTTGGTTGACAAACAGCTTAGGTTTGGCTCTTACCTTGCACTATGCCTTGGAGGAAGAACGCAGAACACAATCCAGGGAAACTGAAGTAAGCAGCTTTAAATTACTTTTAAATCTCCCAGTGGTAGCTGCCTCATGGTTTCTATAATAATTCAGATATCTGAAGGCTTTGTTACAGCCTTCAAACATGGAGGTCTGAGCTGCTACAGTAAAACAAGAAACATACCAAAAGCACCTGCTCTATTATCTGCATCTTGGCTTATAAGAGGATCTCAGCAATGCAACATAAATGATCATTACTGGTCTTGTTGTGGAAAAGGTCCTTAAAATACTCAAGTCTTTCAGAGCTTTTTCAAACCAGGCTAGTGCTCAGAGACAGAGACAGAAATCTTATCTTCGTAACTAAAGTTGAGTACAGCTATACTTAGCACATTTTCATGTTTCAATTACTATCATCCACCTTACTTTTACTCCATACTCAACGTTAATGGCCTTAAAGGGAAAACTGAGCAAAATATTAATTTATTAGCTTTGGGACTGCACTTATGCTCACTATATAGTGATCTCCATTGTCCTGTCTTTCTGTTTTTTCTGTTAATTTACTTAACTGATGCCTCTTTCACTATGTCTTAAAGGTTTAGCCCAGTTCCACTTTTCCCACTTTATCTTCTGTCTTTTCTGTGCTAAGCCAGTCTTCCCCTCACCCCAATTTCCCACAACTACTTATTTCTGATGCCATTCTGATAGTTATTCATACAGTAAGGTTTCACATCTTACTTTACTGCTCTTGAATAGTAATTGCTCAGCATGTTAATTCCAGGTGGGTGCACTTTAAACTCCAAAAAAGTACAGGGACATTTTGTTTAATGGTCTGCCCTATTAATAAATTTTGGAAATATTGGGAGTTCTTACTATATTTTGATAGCTACACATAAAGTTTAGACCATTTTCCACACCTTCATTTTTTCCAGTTCCTGAAGCCTCTCTTCTAACTGTTCTTGAAGTGCCTCTTTCTCGTTGGTTAATTGGGCGCAGCGCTCCTTATGTGACCGAATCATCTCCTTACAACGTTGCAGCAAGTTCTCTTGGCGCTTCACCCTCTGATTGAGAGTTTCCAGTGCTTTAACAGAATCTTCGTTATCCTCTACAAGACAACATACCAACATCACCATATGCACACTATTTCCAAAATGCAGATCTGCATTCTGTATGGGTCATTCACTTAAGAGTTGGACTTGATGAACCTTGTGGGTCCCTTCCAACTCAGAATATAGTGTGATTCTGTGATTCGTCATTCACAATGAGGGTGACTCATGGGTCTCTAAAGAAAGTTGCGTCAAGTCTGCAAGACTTCCTAGTTCCTACTATAACTGCCAGAAACATGCTACACATACACAGAACTGTAAATACACTCTTTCACACCACATTAATTTACAAAACTCAAGTTACTTTATCGACTTCAAAACCAAATTATTAGTCAAAAAGGTTTTTTATGCAATTAAAAAGTCATCATAATTTATAAACCTGCCTGTTGCTACTAACAGAATTGGTACATGCAGTAAAAAATATGAAGCGAAGCAAAGCAAATCACATCTCTCAAGTGCCAAGCACACAGATTCTTGCTTCCTCAGGGTTGGGTGTGATGTTAGTTCCAAAATATCCAGGTTGGCAATACTACATTTGGCAGGATAAAGGTTATGCTTAGTGTCTTTCTGAGCTGTCCTTGTAGAATCACAGAATGGTTTAGGCTGGAAGGGACCTTAAAGAGCATCTAGTTCCAACCCCCCTACCATGGGCAGGGACACCTTACACCAGACCAGGTTGCTCAGAGTTCCATCCAGGGTGTCCTTGAACACTTCCAAGGACAGGGAATCTACAACTTCTCTGGGTAACCTGTTCCAGTGTCCCATCACCCTCACAATAAAGAGTTTTTTCCTAATATATAATCTAAACCTTCTCTCTTTCAGTTTGAATCTCTCTGTATAACTAGCACATTTGGGTAGTATTTTACTGTGTATTTCTGCTCTGATGCTCTGGAGGCTGCAAGACTACTTGGCATGAAAATAGGATCAGATAAATTCAGAGGTTCTGTTCACAACCATAAGTCTTATACAATATAATCCAGAAGCAAACTCCAGCACAGGAAACATCCTGAATCGTGATTCTTACATTATTTACTAAGCACTCTTGTCATGTAAGAAAAGCAGCCTTTCGTCTTGCATGTAGCAAGCTCCAACAGAAACTTTGTGACATCCAGAACAATGGATCAATCTAGCAGAAAAAATTCAATTATGCGCAGATACAGGTGATCACAGAGGATTCTATGAGGCCTTGAAAACAGCATACGGGCTTGCATACCAGGTCCAAAGCCCTCTACTCAGTGCAGATGGGCAAATGCTTCTCACAGATAAAATCTCCATTCTGAATCGATGGTCTGAACACTTTCAGACTCTCTTCAGTACTAGCCTGTAGTTCAAGACTCAACAATTCAGTCCATCACACAACTGGGGAAGAATGAATTGGATATTGCCCCCCCTTTGGGAGAAACTCTTAAGGCCATACAGCAGGTAAAAACTGGGCAGCTGGGGTTGATGGAATTCCACCTGAAATCTGGAAACATGGGGGCCTTGCACTCCATGCTAAATTTCATGAGTTTGTGGTGCGCTGTTGGGAACCAGGTGAACTACCATCAGACCTTTGTGATGCAGTCATCATCACTTTGTATAAGAAGAAAGGAGTTAAATCAGACTGTTCAAATTACCGTGGTATTACTCTGCTCTCCATTGCTGGCAAAATCCTGGCAAGAATACTTTTGAACAGACTAATACGTGCTATAGCAGAAGGAATTCTACCTGAAAGCCAATGTGGTTTCAGAGCCAACAGGAGTACCACAGACATGGTATTTGTTCTCAGACAACTGCAAGAGAAGTGTAGGGAACAGAACAAAGGTCTCTTTGTTGATCTCACCAAGGTTTTCGATACTGTGAGCAGAAAAGGCCTATGGCAGATTTTGGAACGTTTAGGATGTCCTCCCAAGTTCCTCAAAATGATCATCTCACTTCATGAGGATCAGCATGGCCAAGTCAGATATGGCAATGCACTTTCTGAGCCCTTTCTAATAACAGTGGTGTGAAACAAGGCTGCGTTCTTGCACCAACCTGATTCACAATCTTTTTCAGCGTGATGCTCCAAAGGGCCACTGCAGACCTCAATAAAGAAGATGGTATCTACATTCGATACCGTACTGATGGAAGCCTATTCAACCTAAGGCGACTGAAGGCCCACACTAAGACCTTAAGTCATCTTGTCTGTGAGCTGCTATATGCTGACGACAATGCCCTCATCGCCCACACAGAAGTAGTTCTGCAGCGTTTAACATCCTGCTTTGTTGAGGCTGCTGAGCTTTTTGGTCTGGAAGTCAGCCTGAAGAAGACAGAAGTTCTCTATCACCCTGCTCCTCAGGAAGCCTTCCATCATCCCCACATCACCATTGGCCAATCAGAGCTCAAATCAGTCCAGCAGTTTAATTACCTAGGTAGTCTCATCTCCTCGGATGGCAAGATTGATGGAGAGATAGACAACAGGTTAGCAAAGGCATATAGAGCTTTCGGAAAACACCATAAAAGAGTTTGGCGAAATAAACACTTGAAGAAAAGTACAAAGATCAGTGTTTACAGAGCCATAGTGCTGTCTACTCTTTTATATGGATCTGAATCATGGATCATCTACCGCCACCACCTGCGACTCCTAGAACGCTTCCATCAACGCTGCCTCCGTACAATCCTAAACATCCACTGGTCAGATTATGTGACCAACACATCTGTTCTAGAACAAGCAGCAGTCACAAGTATTAAGGCCATGTTGCTGAGAACACAGCTGCGTTGGGCAGGACACGTCTCAAGGATGAAGGACCACCGCCTCCCTAAGATCCTGCTTTATGGTGAACTTGTCACCGGCTGCCACAAGAGAGGAGCCCTGAAGAAAAGATACAAGGACTCCCTGAAACAACATCTCAGTCTTGGTCATATTGATCATCATAACTGGTCTACCCTGGCCTCCAATTGAGAGGTCTGGAGACACACCATCTATAACACTGCTGATGCTTTTGAGAAAGCACACAGGATCACCCTTGAGGAGAAAAGGCAGCGCAGAAAGAATCGTATCTTGCAGAATATACCACCTAAGAAGCCTTTCTGCTGTACCTTTTGCAACTGGACTTGTCTATCTCACATTGGCCTTTTTAGCCACCAGCGCACTTGCAGCAAGGGTGGGTAGAGCCCTTCCCAAATCTTCATTCACGAAGCCTAGCCATGATGATGACAAAAATCATGGCACTAAGTAAGAGCATCTCTCATCTATCCTTCATATTATCTGTACATACAAAAATAATAGTAGATTTTTGCTGAACACAGCTTAACAAATATCATTTCAAGATACATGTTCACCTCTGTCTGAACCCTACCCTTTTATGAAGGCTACCAATGAATGACACTTTTATTCTGTATCAGCATTATGATGTGCACTGCTCAGTAATTAAATATACACAATACTGGGAGTCCCATTAATTCAAATAACCTCCCAGTGCGGGGAACACTTAGGTTATTTAATCACAGGAATATCAAAATTGATCTTTGCTTTTACTTTCTACTGATAAAGCCAATGGGAAAAAACTCCACAAACTCACAAACAAAAGACAGAGATTAGCAACTAGTCTCCTCTCTAAACTCCAGGGATAGGTCCTTGCCTATGGGAGGTAGAATTTCTTAATCATATTAAGTGGGGGTAGTAAGAACACCTACCAACAAAGCAATAATTACAATGTTATTATCAATACTGACAAAGGAAAGACCTATCAGAATTGAATTCTTACAAAAATTTAGTATCTTAGATACTAAGATATCCTGTCCTCTAGCTGCCACATTGTTTTCAAAACAATTGTCTCCTTCTAGGAAATATATCCCTACTATGATATGTTCAGCCCTAAATACTGTTACTCCATCATAAATAACAGCAAGTTTATTTCTCAAAATTCAAGCTCTTGAAAAAGCCACAATACATACCATTGCTTCCTGGTTCCACAATATTTTCTGCACTGACTTCTTTTGCTGGACTTTGAACTTGTGGTTCTGATTGCATATTTTGATCAAGCAATTCAGTGCCTATTTGACCATTCTGTAACCTTTGTTTCAGCAACGACACCTAAACAAAATGTTCTTTTTGTTAAAAAAACCCCAAAGATTCTAAACAGATCATGTGTTAATCTTCAAAACTAGAGAGAACTAAATAAAGTTGGCATTAGCAAGTAGAAAATGGAAAATCTGTCTAAATTTACCATTTTTTAAAAATCAGAATTATGCTTAAAATTAACAAAAATACCATCATTATGAGTAGAGAAACAAAGACCAATTAAGCGAAACACATAAATACCTTCATAATATCTTTATTATCAAGACATCAACATTAACAGATGTCTGAGCTAAAATTACTTTAGCAAAATTTAAGTGCAAATCAATCATATTTAACATGAGTGAGACTTTTGCAGAGGTATCCTCTACCACAAAGGTGCATCTAATTTCCAGATAATCATAAATTCTCAAGAAGCTTTACAGCTTCACAGCAATTATAATAAAACATGGATATGCATTATAGGAAATAGATAGCTAAAATGAAAAAGTAAAAAAAGCGCTTCTGAAGAACACTTGTTGGGTAAAGTATCTTACCTGAGTTTGCAGCACACTAATAAGTTGATCCTTTTCTTCTAAGGAAGCATCAAACTCCTCTTGAAGATGTTTCTTTGCTTGTTGATCCATCTGGAGCTCCTGTGAATAAACACATCTCAAATGAAAACTGAAATGTGAATTCAAAGACTGATCAAAATATTATGAAATAATATTTAAAATATCTCTTCATAATTGTGACCCCAAAATACAACCATACAGTGGACATTTCTTTTATTATACAACATTCCACACAGTATAATAAGAACATCCCATTATAATACCAGCATTAAAACAGCAAGAGTCCAGATTTGATGCAAAATTATCAAGGATTCTTTCTTTCTTCCTAGAAGTAAGTTTGTATAGGGATCATTTCAAGCCTGCTCCTGAAAAACTGTTTTCCATGTACACATTTCTCCTGGAAACTGAAGTCCGCACTTCAGTATATTCTTCTTTCAGCCTCCAGACTAAGCCAACATAAACAGCAGAAATGTAAAATTCATTATGCTCATTAAACATGCCAGCATTCTAATAGGACAAATGCCACGTGTAAGAGAAAAAAGCTGGCCTTTTTATTCCACAAATGTGTCTCCAATGACAAAACAGAGAATGCCAAATAATTTAACTATGTGGCTTTACTTGATAATTATGTGCAATTATTTGGCTGAACACCCTTAGAAACCTGTAAATGTTGCCTAAATGCATTAGTAGGATCTACGTAGTCTTAAAACATACTTCCTGAGGGAGGTCTCTTCTATTTAATTCCTATACTTCTAAAGTTTAAATATTAAAATTTCTTTAAATAATTATCATTCTAATAGTAAACAAATGCACTTAAATTAATTCACATCTAACTGCTTATTGAGAGAACCAGGACCACACATATTTCATGCATGCACTGTAAATACTTTCTGAAACTTGTATTTTAAGTTCTTTTATTTATATATTTACTTCATCCATATATATCTTCCCAGTGATTTACCCCAAGAAAAGAATCCTTCTATGACCGTTATTCTGCAAAGATCACTTGCATATAAGCAATCCCCACCCATAAACTTGAGTTCCATTAGCCAGGCAAGGACAGAGGATAACAGAAAGAAAGGATGAAAAAGTAAACGAGACAAAACACAGGGCACCAGATGCTCCTATGCTGCTTTACTCCAATTCTAAATCTTGCTTTTACTCTTGCTGTCTATCCCTTACCTCCAACAGAGTCCCCTGCCACAGCTGACTCTGATACCAGCTCTGAGAACCACAGTTGTGTTAGCTGAGCCTGCCCAGTCATGCACAGGCAGGACACTGATGGAAAGTGTCACTGTAAAAATTCCTCTCTTCCTATATCCACTGTATCCACTTCTTAACGCTGCATTGCCTCAGGTTCTCAGCAACTACTAATCACCTTCTGACCTTTAGAAGTGATTCCTTCCAAACGAAGCAAAGCAAGTCAGTGTGAGAAAAAGTGCCAAAGAGATTTACTGAAACCAACACAGAAATGGCCCTTTTTAGATCCCAAAGTCGCTTCTGATCCTTTTCTGAGAAGGAGAACACTGAAGACTGCTTGAAGACTGTTTCTGAGGAATTACTCCTAACAGGAGAAAACTAAGGCAAGCAAAAGACACATTGATGTCTAGGGACTATTTCACACTGTCAACTTGGCCTCAAAGGAGATAATTTATTCTTACCTGGCCCTCTTAGAAGAAACTTGTCTGATTCAACATATTTATGGGGAAATTTGATTGTATGATGAAGAAAAGGACTTTCAAAATCAATTTCTGTAATCAATTATTACATCAATGAATGAACTACTTTTTACCATTTTGGCTTCCACAGTGGAAACTAACCATTTTATTTGTAATTTTTCTTTTGTGTCTGTTTTACCTAATGCTGCAACACTTAGGCTTCCAGAAGACTAGAAAAACACATTTTGAAGTTTATCAATTAATGAAAAAGAATCTCAGCGTTAGATTTGAAGGACTCTTTACATCTACCAGATTTGTAAGAGTGAAATTAAATTTTACACCAAATATATATATAAAAATGTATATATATAAATCAAAAATATATGTATAACTTATCTACATATATGAATCACAAAGACTACGACAGAAGTGAAAAATAAAAATGCACATGTCCAACCTTTTGTCATAAACAAAAGGTTTAACTCCGGTATACATCTGCCTTCCTGACTTTATCAAGTAGCATTAAGCTGAAAAACTAATCCTACAGGAGCACATGGATATGGACTTAACATAGAATGAGCTTCTTTCATTTGACCTTGTAGCAATCCAGAAAAGAAACAACATTAGCAAGCCACTTCTGTCAGTAATGCTGTGGTTTTTTCCCTCCTATGGGCTGATAGTTAAGCTTAGGACATGGTAACAGCCCAGGCACAGGCTCCAGCTCAGACGAGCACACTACACCCAGCACTCTGGCCCACTGTTCTCAGCTGCTGAGGCAGAAGCAGCACAGATCTGAATCAAAATGCCACCCTGGTGGCACACACAGTTCACAGCCTGCTTACCTGAATTACTCACCGCATTGCTGAAGACTGCCTGACAATTTGCCAGTGACCTCCTCTGAAATGACTGGCTGCCTAACCAGTCACACAGGGACAGTTCCCTGTGGGTGAGCATGAGGCACAAGTACACACACAGTCAGATGCTCGCAGTCACCATCCCGCACCCCAAGGGAACAAGTCCTGGTCCCTGTCTGGGGGCAAGACACCCAACTGTCTGGAGTGAGTCTGCCTTCAGGCAAAGGTGAGACCTCACCACAGCCTAATGGCTCCTGCAACCTCCAGGCCAGTGCTGCTGCTCAGCATGGCACAGGCCAAGAGCAGGACTGCACTCACAGAGAAAGCCTGTGGCTTTGGGCAAACTGGTACCCAGATCTCCAGCAAGGTAAGAGTGTGGACAGAGAAGTCCATGCCCATCTCCAAACCTGATGCTGCACTTGCTCTTGCAGCAATAAAATGGCTTCAGTTTCCCACTGTGCTTCAACAGGGTCTGACAACATAGCTTTTGTGAACTTGCCCTTTAAGTTGTTCCGCCTGATCATCTGTACATTTTTTTAAATAAGTCCAACGTGTTTATTATCAATACCAAATATATTAGAGCTTCTCCTTTTAATTTCACTATAACCTAAAGAGACAGTAACATAACCTACCTGATTTTATGACTGAAATCAAACTATACTAAAATCCAAAAACCAATATAAATATTATAAATGAGATAAAGATGAATATTTTTAAAAATTTTATCCCCATTTTTTTTATAGTCACTGACATTTTTATTAAAATATGCCTACTACTTGTATTTACCTAACATTAGAATTTGTCGATAATAGAAGAGCAACAAATTGCACAGGAATACCTATGGCTGGGCCCAACAATACTGCAAGAACCACACGCACTTTACATATTTCACAATGAACAAAAAAGTAGAGTTCAGTTGGTATGATGCACTGCTCTGTCTTAAGAGTACAGTATCAAGCTGATGAATGAAAAACAAGGCAGAGGAGTAAACCCATATGAAAAAAAGCAAGTAAGCAGTAAAAAAAGTGCTCTGTAATAGGAAATATTTTGTAAAGTGAACAAAAAAATCAAAAGCTAGGCAGAAAAAGATCCTATGTAGGTGTGCTATAAAGTAAACACGCAATCAGTAAAGGAAATTACTACCTCTCTCAGTTCTCCAATTCTGCGAAGTGCTTTATCCTGACTTTGACTCAGAATGCTCTTAAGAAAAAGGGAGAATAAAGATCAGGTGTATTAAATGTAACTTATAAAACATATAAATATATAAATAAATTCACAGAATTGTACTTCAGCAGAAGATGTAATGATTTGTATTTCTCTTTCAAGTCGTGCTTGATGTGTAAGTATTATCATAAATTGCCAACTGTGGGTTGGCAATCTATCACCTGAATTCAGCTGATGCAAAAAAAAAAAAGACTGGAGTACAATAGCTTCACAGTTATTTTCATAAATCAGTATTAACTTGGTTTCCTTAGAAATCCCAGATAATAGAATCTTTTGTTATATGCACACATACAATGCACTGAAAATTAAATCTGTATTTGCACTACACATTTTAAGATTCAAAAAAGCATTCAGGCAAGAGAAGATGAAAAGTAATTCTTACCTGTAGCTTCTTCTTTTCCCGCTGGATAACTTGATAAGCAGACACTAGCTAAAATACAGAAATTGGCTATAATGATGATAATGCATTCATTAATAGCTACTGAAATAATTTCCTTAGTTGTATCACTGTGTGCATTTTGAAACTCTTCACTTCACTTGAGAACACTCTGTTGACAGAAGTGTACTTAAATTTTCTCAGTGTTTCCTTTTTCTATCTATAAAATATCTCCAATGTTTTAAAAAAGAAGTCTACATCACAAAACAGTAATGTTACTCAGCATTCATGCACAGTTTTCCCTTTGCTGAGAAGACGTACCATGCTTCAATACAGGGGATCAAAACCCAACAGTATCAGAAAGTTACATCCCAGACAGCTACCCCACAGGGATGTCCATTTGAAAGAGTGCATGTCCCAGGGAGCTTAAGTAAAAGTAATTTTACAAGGAGTATGAATTAAAAAATACATTTACAAATTTCGCAAAAAAGGATCTGTGTAATGTTCTCATCCCATGTGCTTTGCATATACCCAGCATACAGATAGACTGAAAGTGGACAATATTTCTCATTGTAAGCTGACAAAGGATTTAACAAGTAACTGCACAATTTAGTTTAATTCAAAATTTAATTACAATTGCCAAAGCTGAAGTAGCTTAATGGCACTTGGAACTAGAATATTCTGTTCTCAAATTGATGAAAAACTAAAGGAAAACACATCCAAAACACTCAAACTAGAAATCAATAGGTCAAAATATAACTTCAAATTCTTATATAAAATAAGATTTTTTCAAAATTACTTTTAATTTCAAAGTCATATTTATTTTGCACTTAAAAAGAAAACTAAAACTGCTATGGATGGTTTCCCTCACCATATTTTTGAGATGCTAACTCTGTATCCTACTTTAAGAGAGAAAAAATATTTATGTTTTAATTACTCATTATATATTGAAACTACTGTCATCCAAGCTCCAGCAAAGCTATTCTTTCCAATTGAACTAAAGAAACAGAAAAAATCACCAAGCCTTTTTGATACAGAAAATTAACACTCACTAAACAGACTACACGAATAAAAAAAAAAAACAAAAACAAAAAACCACACAGAAAACCAAAACCCCAAACAGCAAAACAAACCCACAAATTGAAGAATTTTCACTTTAGCAATACTGTTTTACATAAACTTTAAAAAAATACCTACTATACCAGCTGGAAGAGAACCAAAAATTAATGGGAGACAACTGGTTTTTTCAGGCATATGCTGAATACTGCAATTGCTGTATACATATTTTAGATTCCAGGGATTTTGACACTAGTAGACAAAAGTCTGCACAGCAATTTTTGTATTTGAGGGCAGCAAACATTAAAAGAACTGTAAAAAACCAGTGCAAACATCCAGTTTTAAATACAGCACACACTTCAAAAAACAACAAACAAAAAAAGCCAACACAAACAAAAAAACCCCAATCCCAGACATTTCCCATCCCCATCCCATCCCATCCCCATTTCCCAATAATTCGGGAAATGAGTAGAAAAACTATTTATATCATTGGTGTTCACTAAAATAGCAGAAGAAACGGTCCTTGAATTAATTCCTTACAGGGAATATCTGGAAATTATGGAGAATAGAAGTTATTTCTTTAAAACAAAATGCTTGCCTATTGTATGTGCATAGAATATACATTATGCACTTCAAGAAAAAGTTCCAGAACAAAAGTAAATTTGCTGTCATGTGAGTAAAAACCATGCTCAGCTCTGTCCTGAACTCCACCCCCTCCTACAGGCTTTCCGCTGAAACCTTAATAGGCCTACTTTCTGTGAGTAACCACTAGTTAACCTCTACTGCTGACATGAGGAAACTATTTACAAACAAGAGAAGAAAAGGATTTCCATGTTTTATCACTGGAAAAACATTTGATTTCTCTAGACGTCAATTTGAATTATAATTTAACTTCCATGTTAGGTTTAAGTTGAAACATTTGCTCCAAACAGGAAAACAAAAAGATTATCCACTACTGCAATCTCTGTAAGCCTCATCTTTTTCCCCTCTCTACCCAGCTAAACCAGTCACTACATTGCCTACCTCTGAGTATTTTACCCTATAGTTGCCCAAACTGCGCTCCATTCTGCGCAGTCGCTGCAGCAACTGCTCTTTGCTGAGGCTGTCCATATTGCCAGGAGGCTCTTCTGTTTCACTTTCAATGTCAGAAGGTGAGTCAAATGTGGGACTGACGGCATCCAAGTCCAGTCGATTCAGCGAGTCTCTTGAAGAACTTCGTACCAGGGACTCTTTAGAAGAAGAGCGGAATAGGGTCTCTTTCACCGGGCTTCGAAACAAAGATTCCATGGAGGAAACTCGAAGCTGAAGCCTCTGGGTGAAAGACTGAGTGTCACTTAGCTGCAAAAATCCAAAGCAAGTCATTATTTCTGCACTGCTTTTAGGCAGACACACTAAAGCCCAGGAAAGAGAGACCTGATCTGGGCAACAAAATGATTGTTGCCTAACACATGCATGACACCAAATACACTGTTCTAGACCAAAAGATTCTGTGCTATGGTACTATATACTGCTGGTGCTACAGAAGTGATTCGAAAGCATTACTGCACAATGTTGCCCCTACGATAAAATGTTGGGATGCATGTACCAGGAGCCACGGCTAACTCAATTTCATCAAGGTAAAGTTTTTCCCAAGACATATTAAATGACTTACACTTTTACCACTAGTGACAATACTTTTAAGCCTATCAGTTCTTTTCCTTCAGGTAGAAATTAGCTTTCCAGTCATGCAATATGCCCTGTACTCTTGAAAGCGAGGTTAATGCTCTGTATCCCATGATGGCTGTGCAACAAGATGCATCTCAATGCAGGCAGTCTGCTAACCTACCGTTACAAAAAAAAACCAAACAAACCTCCGCACATCAGTGACACCACTTAATACCAGCTAATGGGATTACACATAAACAAAATACCCTAGTATCCTGACAGGCAAGGACTTATCATCCCTACTCCAGCATGAAGATACATACTGGACACTTAAACCAAAGTAACACAAAGACAACACAGCAGGAAAGGAGGAAACAAACTCCCCATATCCTCCACGTACCTGTGGGGAGGCTGGTTCACTTCCATTATTTTCTGTGGATCCAGGAAGTGGCTGTTTAGTTAAGTTCTACAGCAGGAAAAACAACCATTAGAAGGAATAGACACTACAAGGACTGTAATTCACTGATTCCTAGAAATATCATCTGTACTTTTACCTTGTCTGTGTTTTTAGTACTTTCTTTACAATGCTTATTAAGAAGTCTTCATGCAAACAAGCTAGTTTGTTAAATTCAGAACAGATTGCTGCAATATACAGAACTACAAAGCAGCTATGTGTGCATGGATTAGTACAAGACATCTGCAAATGGTGATATCTCCAATTAAGTTACTCAGAGCGATTATTTATATAACATTTATGCGCAAATCAAAGAAACACCAAAAAGCCAAAATGACAGCAGGAGAAATCTAATTGATGACTAGTGTTTACAGCCAACATGAGTAAGAGCTGGCTGTAACACCGCCTTTCTCTGTTTAACTGCACTGGGGGAGTGGAAACTACCTGGAAAAAGAGTGCTGGTAATAAGCTGTTTTAAACTCTGAACAAGCAGAGGAAGAAAATTAAACTTTCAGAAAAAACATTTGGCAAAAAACTTCATGTGTACATTCCTCTGCACTGTCAAAGAAAGACAAACAAAACACACACACATAAAAAACCCCACCCAAACCAACAAAACCAACACAGCAGAAAACAATTTGTTTGTTTGTTGGGGTTTTCTGTTCGTTGTTTTTTGGGGGGTTTTTGGTGTTTTTTTTTTTTTTTTTTACATTCTGTTCCTAGTCTGTCTATCCTGCTTTTCCTATGTCCTATGTTCAGGTGTTTTCTAATCAACTCCCAGTGACTGGAAGTTGGATAACGTCACAGTTTTCAAGAAGGATGACCCTGGAAACTACAGGTCTATTAGTCTCACTTCAGTGACCGGTAAAATTATGGAGAAAATTTTTCTGGGAGTTATTGAAAAACACCTGAAAGACACCACAGTCATTGGTGACAGTCAGTACAGCTCCACAAGGGGAAACTCCTGCTTGTCAAATATGATTTCTCCTTATGACAAGACTATCCATGGAGCTGACCAAGGAAAGCCTTTGTTATAAAATTTTTAGATTTCAGTAAAGCTTTGGATACTGTCTCTTATAGTATCCTTCTGGACAAAATGTCCAACACACAGCACGCAATGGTTGAGCAACTGGCTCATGGGTCAGGCACAAAGAGTTATGGGGTAACTTCACAAAGAGTAAACGGGGTAACATCAGACTGGTGACCTGTCACTAGTGGGGTTCCACAGGGCTCCATCTTAGGCCCAGTTCTCTTCAACAGCTTCATGAATTACTTGGATGTAGGACTCAAAGGTACACTAAGTAAGTTTGATGATGACTCTAAATTGGGAGGAGCTCTCAACTCCCCCAAAGGTAGGGAGGCCCTGCAGAGAGACCTCAACAAATTAGAGGGCTGGGCAATCACCAACCATATGAAGTTCAACAAGGGAAAATGCTAGATTCTGCACCTGGGATGGGGCAACCCTGGATGTTCGTACAGACTGGGGAAAGAGAGGTTGGAGAGCAGTGCACAGAAAGGGAACTGGGGATCCTGGTCAACAGAAAGTTGAATATGAGTCAGCAGTGCCCTGGCAGCCAGGAGGGCCAATCGTGTCCGGGGGGGCATCAGGCACAGCATCGACAGCCGGTCAAGGGAGGGGACTGTCCCGCTCTGCTCTGCACTGGTGTGGCCTCGCCTTGAATATTGTGTGCAGTTTTGGGCACTGCAATAGAGGAAAGATACTAAGTTGTTAGAGAGTGTCCAAAGGAGGGCAATGAAGATGGTGAAGGGCCTTGAGGGTACTTGGTCTGTTCAGCTTGGAGGAGACTGAGGAAATACCTCATTGCAGTCTACAACTTCCTAAGGGGGGGAAGTGGAGGGGCAGGAACTGATCTCTTCTCGTGGTGACCAGTGACAGGACCCAAAAGAATGGCATGAAGCTCTGTCAGAGGAAGTTTATGCTGCATATTATAAAAGGTTCTTCACCCAGAGGGTCATTGGGCACAAGAACAGGCTCCCCAGGGCAGTGGTCACAGTACCAAGCCTGACAGAGTTCAAGAAGTGTTTGGACAACACTCTCAGGTACATGGTGTGATTCTTGGGGCTGTCCTGTGCAGGACCAGGAGTTAGACTTTGGTGATTCTTGTGAGTCCTTTCCAACTCAGGATATTCTATCACTCTAACCTATACAAATCCAGACAGTTTTTAAACCCAGTCCAACTGAATTAGCAACACATGCTAGAAACCATCTTGGACATGAATTGTCCAAGAGAAGCAAAGCACTGAGGCATATCAAACAAAATATGGGTAAATTCACTTAAAAGCAGTGTAACTCTTAATTTTAAATCCAGCTGTACCCTGAAAGTTACATGCAAACTGAAAAATTTAAGGTGTACATATAACTGAAATTTGAATCACAATCCCCCTTGTATGCATCTGCCACATAATCACATTCACAGCTTCTACTCTGGATACGCAGATAAGCATACCTAAATATTAACAAGGCAGAGGAATGATACAGTGTAAAAGGGCTTTAAAAAGGTCTTAAGGAAGTACAAAAATACCACAGAATGAAGAGAAATTCAGATAGTTAAGGAAAACAGGGTACTGAGCAGTCACCCAGATGCAGACAAAATTAAATGAGTAATAACCAGACATACAGGAAGTCTGAATTTGGAAATTGCGCTTCACCTGGTTTGAACAAAATCTGCATTCTGCTTCAGAACACTATCCTGTGGTGGTGGATTTATTCCTAGTGGACTTACAGCTCTTACTGTGTTTTAATCTACAGCACTTCCACATTTTATTCTCAGCTCCCTTACCTGTTCTTTTTCGTTTCCTAACTGGAAAGTTAATAATAAGGTAATCCAAATAAAAAATTTTCTGTTCTACAATTTAAAAACATCTACCATGCTAGTACAGGCCCGACAACAGAGGAAGACAAATACTTTACCAAGAATTACGAACTAACTGCATATACTTCTTTCAAAAATCATATATTCTGATATACATAAAAGAGAATTAAAGAAAACTATGAAGGGTTTGTACATGTAATTCATAAGAATAATTTAATATTTAACATCTATTTTAAAATACAAGATTAAGTAGATTTATTAAATTTAATAAGGTTTTTATTAATATAGAACCCATGGATGCTGTTCCTTTCTCTGAAGATGCTTAAAAATCTGCCATTTAAGGATTTACAAAGATCCTCAAAAATGTAACTTCAAAACTAAACTAATGCTGCCACTTTTAAAATTCTCCTACTTTTTATGCTGGCGTCTTTGTACTCAATCTGTGTGAACAAAAGTAGAAACTACATCTGGGGGTTAGACTTTCCACTGGCATAAATAATAAAAGGTAATCTTTTGTATAAAAACTGGACCACCATAGATATGTAGCTGCTACAAGACTACATCACTGTGCAATGGGTTGTATTCAGGTGTCCACACACTGAAAGTAACTATGAATGGAAGTTGCTATATATAAGTATTGATTCAAGAAGCTTTCAAGAGCTTAAATGCCCTAGCCTTTCATAAGTCTTATGAGAGCTTTCAGCAAAACCAGAATCACAGAGCACGAGCAGGCATTTCAAACATCTTAAACCCAGTTGTTACATCAGGGTTTTTGGAAACCAAGGGAAGTGTCTCCTCCACAAACTCATAGAACATACACATCCATATACTTACAATCTCTAATAAAAAGGTTTCTTTTTATTATGAAGATGTATAAATCATAATTCAGTTTTAACTGGAGCACATTAGGGTGTTTTAGTGACATTTACACCTCCTTACTTCCCTATTTCTGAAATGCAAACTAATTCATCTTACTCATTTCTCAAAGGTATAAGTAGATTAGTAAGCCTGAAAAGTGAAAGCTTAAATGTTTTAATTTAAAAACATTTTACTGTTTTCCCTCCTTCTCAGGTATTCCAAAACTTAGTAAATTATGGAGGGAGAAAGGAAAGAAAGCTTAGTAGACATTTTTCCCCCTCATTTCCCTTTCATTTTTCTTTTAAAAACCACATTGTGTCCAAGAATATTTTGAACAAAATGCAACAAAACCTATGTAGCTTAGTTAGTAACGAGTTTATACCAACTTCACCTACACCAAAAAAATCCACAATTACAGTCACTTCTCTATGACATTCACTCTCTTAGATCACATATCAGTTGCATACACACAGTTTGATTTAGCAGAATTAATATGCATTTGTGTGTGTTGATGAAATTTTCCCTCTCCTGCATCTTTAGTTTATCTAGGTTTCCCAAACATACATAATGTAGGGTGCTTTTTAATATAATTGTTTTTATAATCAGACATCCCATTCTCTATTCTCATTGTCTTCTCCCCCTCACAATTCCTACTGTGAGAGTACTGCTCTAGAGTTTTCAGAAAGCTCAGAGAAAAAAATCAGTTTTACAGGTAACATATTATTAATACACACTGGTACACATTAACAATAACTTCTACATTATAACTATTTGTTATGTATGCAGTCTTGTATATAAATATGCAAGCCAGTAAATATGCCACTGAAGTACATACTAAAAGATCATATAAAGACAACATTTGAGCAATCACACAAATACGTTATTTGAAATAAAACTGTTTTAGAGATATTCTGTAATGTAGTTAAAACCAAAAAAGGTTAATTTTGCAGTGAATCTTTAAGTAGCAATTGCTGGATTTCAAATATGATCAAAATATCTAGAACTGAAAAAAAAATTTAGTAACTATTTTGAAACTACAGATTTTCAGCATGTCTTCTTTGGTCCCCACCAAAAAGTTCAGTCTTGAAAACACGACTGAACTAATAATGAATCAGTGTTTTAAGGACACACTCTAAAAAAGCATAACCATTTGCAACAAATTAAGACTTTCTATGGATCACCATTTTAATCATTAATCATTGTTTCTGTCCAATCTTGCTTAGCCTGAGAGAGAAAAGTCCAACACAACATGGTGTGTTTTGCTCTGTCCACCTCCTTATTAGATTTCTATCCTGCTACAGCTTTCAGTGACTTGTCATTTTCAGCCCCTGCATGACCAGCAAAGAGCACTTACTCAACCGGAAAAGCATCAGGGATGAGCTGGGGCTCTAAAAAATACTGTGATTTGACTACAGACTCAGGAATGCCATGCCTCTGAACCATGTGAAGGATGCCATTCCAGACCTGTGACAATAGCAAGAATACAGCTTTGTATGTGCCTATGTTAAAAAGCGGAAGTCTGCTTTCATCCCTATGCCTGCTTCTTTCTCTTCTCGTCTCTTCTCATTGAGCTTCTCCACTTATATATGATGAAAACAACAATTCCAGGCAAAGAAATGTATATTTAAAATAAAAATCAATTATTATAAAAAAGGCTAGTTATCCTCACAATAATAGCTGCCAGGGTACCAACTAGATATAGATTAATTTCAAAGTCTATGTGAAATAATTATTTCCTGCTACCATTAGTAGTAAATGACATGCAACCTTTACTGTACACAGCAAAAAGCATGTCATTTTTACACGAAACCAATCCCAATGTTTATCCTATCCATTTATCTTGAAATATATACAGACATATACAAACATGAAATGGAAGATTCTATGCAACAAACATACAAACTTTTGCAACAATTATTTAAAAGTTGTGCAGGGTATGGTTACCTGTATAAGAGAAAACGTTAATTTTTTTATGTTATGATAAATTCACATCATACAGCACACCAGCCAGGAGCTATCAGGTACTACCTCTGTGAAATTTAGTGCAGGGTTAGCAACAAGGTAGTTAAGATAGATGTCTCTGTGAGAACAAGCCACAAGCAACACTAGGTTTGCCTTCTAGTACATTACTCTCCTCCACCTGCTAAAGGCATTACTAAGAGGGGTAGGAGGACTCACCACACTGTCACTCTGTGGCTTAGGTTGTTTGGTGGGATCCAAAGCAAAGATAGTATACTCAGAGAGAAAAGCAGGTTCTGCTATCATTCCGGCTAACAGCTGTCATTCAATGCAAAAAGGAGGAAAATGAAAATAAATCAAGAAATAAGGAACACTGCACAACTTTACCCATTTTTTCCATGCTACTAAAAACATAATAAAACAATACAGCAGTTTATGAGACAACAGATATTAATAAAGGCAGGACATAACCAGAAAATATGCATTAGATCATTTCAGAACAGCCAAAATACAATTTTTATCATTTGGTAGTAAAGAAGCACGCAATTTAAAAGACAGACCCTAGTTTAGCCAAAGATAAAGAAAATGTTTCAGGCACTTATACTGTAACTTTTTTAAACTTCCGTGGATGACTTATCATATACCACTGAGCCCTATATGCTCTCAGTTATGCATGAACAACCCACTATTCTAAAAATTCTACCAGTATTTCAGTTATATACACTATAAATCGCTTGCTTTTGACTATTTATCATCAGTGCTCTTATACACTAGAATTCTAACTACATTAAAAGAAATTCCTTATATTGTTTTTAAACTACTAGAACACTATTTTGTAAAAATACCACAAGTTGAATTAAACATTTTATCAAGTCAGTATCTAAGAAGAGATTTAAATCCCTAGAGATGAAAACATGAAGAGAAGGAGACTGGAATTTGAATTCAAACTGGATATATATATTTAATGTAATGCAATCTAATGCTGTTAGGATGTGTAACAGATTTCAAAAAAATATTCCTCTCATGATTATACTCATTTATATATAAGTTCAAGGTTCTTTCAGCCTTTCTTACAGCCTGAGATTTGTGCTGTCTGCTGACTGAACCAAAACATGAAATAAAGCAAAACAGTTCTGAAATAATGAGACAAAACCCTATATCAAGTTACTAAATAGTATTTTTAGGAGCCAAATAAATTACAGTGTAAGTTAAGAGTTTGATTTACTTTTTTTTCTGACAGTTACATTGACTCCAGTGCTCTAGTAGCTTACTTACATCAATTCAAATTGAGAGAGGAAAAATATTTTCATATGCAAGATCTGGAACACTACATGGCTCTCAATTTATGTTCACAAAACCCTTTCAGAAATTGCAATAAGTGGTTAATGTTCATTGACAGCCATATACAATAGCTTCTGATTGTTGGATTTGCCAATAACTAGCTAGGTCTGAGAAACTCAGCTGAAACTTCTCACTTTTAAGTTGCTACAAAGACTAGCTGCTAATAAAAGAGATGGTCACATTTCTCCTGCTCCCAATCTTTTTCACCCCTCTGGCCTCAGCACACTTGCCCTCTGCATTCACTGTGGTTGCAAACACTTGCTGAGTTTTGTGAGACTGGTCACCAGTCTCAGCCTATTAGAAGTGTAATGCTTAAAGAGTAAACTGTGTTAAAGTTCCTGCTATATACATTCAAGTGTGTAAAACTGATAGAAGTTTCCTTATCTGAGCTTTTAGACAAAGGAAAAATAAGAAAGCTGATAAATGATAATGATTCCAGAAAATCTTCCTCCAGTGCTGACAATTGTAGAAGCTCATAGCCTTGACCCTGCTATGCATTTTGCACACATTCCTCTTCTTGAAAGGATATATGCCAGAAAAAGAAAGAGGCAAATATTATGCATGCACAAACATACCACAGCAGTACTACAAGCAAGCCTGATGGCCTCATGAATTAGAAGCACGCAAATTCTCTGCCACAAATAAAGTTATGAAATCTTAAAGACAGAAATTACTTTGTATGTTTGGAGAAGATCAGTTAAGAAGATAAAACACAGTTTGCAAAGCACTGATAAATGGATTACAGCAAATATTATTAACCAAAAGATTATGAACATTTTCAACATGTAACATATATTATCTTCAGCTTAGTTAAGTCACTTTTAACAACATGACCCAAGAACTTCAGGAATCACAGGCAATTTAAATTATCTCTTCATAGTAACAGCATGCTAATCCTTGTTTCTCAAAATATTAAGTTGTGACATTTCACCATAGCATTACTTCGCTTCATCCTAATTCCATTATTTAGTACATCAAACAATTTGCATTAAAAATAATTCCTATTTGATCTGTAACAAGTTCACCCTGCTCCAAAAAAAAAGATGGACTGTCAGTTTGCTCAGCACCTAAGAACTGTTAGGATTTTTAGTCATCCCTGGAAGTCCATGACCATATTATTGCAGCCAAGTTCTAACAGGAGGCCTAGACATTAATTCTTTCACAAAACATTAATTACAAACCCCAAAACTTACAGGTAAGAGAGAGAGAGAGCTTTAAACAGTGGCAGAAGTTAATTTTAAAAATCCACTCAAAACTACCTGGTAGACTGATACAGAGTGTATGCAACTCCTGTTTAGCAAGATCGGAAGATCCAGGCTATCCTCTGTCTAAAATATGCCAATCTATATTATGTTATGATTTTGAGAAAAAGAAAGAAAAAAACTTATGAATATAAATTGATGCAGCACTGCTTGAGTTTTTAGACATACAACTCCAGGGTCATTATCATAATTAATAGTTTACACAAACAGTAGAATGCAATTAGCAATTCTGCTAAGTTTCACAGATGTTGATCAGATACAAGAACATTTCTAAATAATCTCAGCTTCACCCTGCTGTTGACTGAGTAAAGGCAAGCACAAAAGGGAAGGAGCCAACCCTACAAATAAAGAACAAAATACAGTACTGAGGCAGAACAGTAATCACTGTATCAAAATGAAATTCCAAAGTATTTCTTCTCCAGTAGCCAAGAGTTTCACAATTCAAATAGCTACCAAAGACAGAACATGCTCAGTCATGGTCCAAGAGTGTTATTTCTTTAACATATTTAGAACTGGCTGTATCTACCCATTAGCAAGTTCATCCTCTTCTCGGATGTTGGGTGACCAACAATGAAAATATTTAAGGACTGGTTCACAGTATTTTTGTTACTTTGATAGGTATGTTTTTACCATTAAATTATAGGCAGAGCTCTCTAGTGAGTCCTGTAATTACACTACTTAATGCTTTCCAATATATACCTGTGTTTTTATCTGCATTCTTAATTTTTTTAATCATCTATTCAATATGGCTTTAAGAACTAGCTGTCTAGTTAACTTGGAGGGGGGATGTCAGGGAAAGGGGTACTAAAAGTAACTAAAAATTATTCACCTATGCCTGGAAAACAGGCAAGAAACCACCTGCTAGTCAGGCAAAATTAAACAATATTACCACGGGATTCTTGCACTTAAGGACTTGTCCTAAAACCCACTCTGAATTATCTTAATAGCTTCAGAAACATTAAAGACATCTGGTGCTATACTGTCTTATGTATCACTAGCACCACTTTAGAGCTAGACCAGTATAGTGATCAATAAAACTAGACAAGTGGTGACTCCAAGCAGGATGAAGCATACCAGAAACAGAGCATGCAAAGATGTAATTGTTTAATTAACCTGCTCTAATCCTCTGAATGCCATCACATCACACTTGAAGCTTGCTATAGAAATCCTAGTAAGATCTTCCAACATTCTGTTTGAAACATACTCTGGAGGAAGCGGCTGATACACCTGAAGGCTGTGCTGCCATTCAGTGGGACCTTGATAGGTTGGGGAGTTGGGCAGAGAGAAACCTAATGAAGTTCAACAAAGGCAAGTGTAGAGCACTGGACCTGGGGACAAATAACCCCAAGTACCAGTACAGGTTGGAGGCTGACTACCCAGAGAGCAGCTCTGTAGAGAAGGACCTCAGAGTCTTGGTGGATGAAAAGTTGACCATGAGTTGGCGGTGTGCCCTTGCAGCCAGGAGGGCCAATGGGATCCGGGGGTACATTAGGAAGAGCACTGTCAGCAGGTCGAGGGAGGGGATCCTTCCCCTCTACTCAGCCTTAGTGAGGCCACACCTGGACCGCTGTGTCCAGTTCTGGGCTCCTCAGTACAAGAAAGACAAGTTGCTTCTGGAAAGGTATTAGACACCCGACCAGTTATTACTGGGTCAGAACCACCTTGTGGGGAGTGTGTGTGTGCGTGTGTGGAGGGGGAAGGATGGGTCGAACCTCATGGAGGTGAGGTGGCGTTGCATCCCTCACGGCAGGCCCCTGGAGCCCACATGGGGAAGCCCCAGGGTAGCTGTCAGTCACAAACAGCCCAGGAAAACTATAACACACCACACCTCCTAGAGCCCCTAACCCAGTGCAGATTGGCAGAGCCAGTGAGGATACTGCCCCCCACCCTGGCCTGGAGCCCCAGAGTGGTTGGTGGCCTAGAGGGGTTGGCCATAGCGACCAGAGCAGATAAAATCATAGGTATGTCTTTGCCTTGCGTCGTGGTCCTGCCACTTGGAATTGTGAGAGCTGGCCTTCTACAAGGTTTCTGTGGTAGCTCTCTCTCCCTCTTTCTCCTTCTTTTTGCTCCCTCTGCTTCTCTTTCTTTGCTCCTTTCTTGATGCTTAGAGCTGGAGGGATTGGATTTTGATTTAAATGTTGTGGATTAATAGTATATACTGAGTCAGCACTGTGGTGGAACATTTTGTCTAGCTTGTGTGGTGTCCTTTTGAACTTTGGTCAAGTCCCCTTATTTGCTGCCTTAAATGAATAAATAAATCCCTTGAGGACAAATCTGTGTCTTATTCTCTTGACGCTATCTTGAGGTATTAAAGAACCCTATATTTATATTTTAAAGTAAAACTCCTAGTTGAGTCCAGGAGCTGGTAGCTCCCAGAGCTGGAATCTTACAAGAAGGTGCAGTGGAGGGCCACAAAAATGGTTAGGGGTCTGGAGCATCTCTCTTATGAGGAGAGACTGAGAGAGATGGGCCTGTTCAATCTGGAGAAGAAAAGACAGAGAGGAGATTTAATTAATACATGCACATATCTCAAAAGATGTTGTCAAAAAGATGGTGCCAGACTCTTTTCAGTGGTGCCCAGTGACAGGACAAGGAGCAGTGTTTATAAACTAAAACACAAAAAGTTCCATCTCAACATGAGGAAGAACTTCTTTTCATTGAGCCTGGCAGAGCACTGGAACAGGCTGCCCTGAGAGGTCATGGAGTCCCCGTCTC